GTGCGTGAGAGGCTGGCTTTGAACGTGAGATCCTCCTGGGCTGCTGGAATTACAGGCATGAGCCCCTGCGCCTGGTAGCAGTCCATTTTTTTGCAGCTTTTGGGGGGCTCTGTAGTTTATGCGGTCCATATTTAACCAGCCCCTGTTAATGCACATTTGCAGTTGAAAAGGTCGTGTCTCAGGGATGTTCCCTGCAGCATTATTTAAAATCATGCAAAGACAGAATACCCTTAGTGGGTCCGGTGGGGACCGTGGAGTGGAACTGCTGGTCTACAGGCCACATGTGTTTAAACTGGGAAGACACGGCCCAGTTGTCCCCATGCTCTGTCTGTGGGTGGGTGTGCTCTCTCCCCACCATGAAAGTAGTACATTATCTAGCAATTTTACCTTGACTCTCATGCTGGATGAAAAATGGAGACTTGTTCATCTGTATCCCTCTGTGAGGAAGCCTGAACGTGGTGTACATTTATACCTGTTTTAATATATAAATTTTTTCAAATTGCTTTGTTACCGGGTTGTCTTGAGGAAATTTAATAATCGGCATTGTGATGGGGGCTTGCTGGGGCTGGGCGGGGACTGCTGGTGTCAGGGGGTGCTGTTGGCCCTGGTACCTGCACCCCAGGGCTGCCTTTAGGATGGGGCTGTGCCTCATCACACAGAGTGGCACTAGAAGTAGTTGTCACTTGAGCCCCCACACACGGGCTCCCGCCTACGCTCCAGAGCCCTGTCCACTATGCTGCATTGGTCAGAGAAAAATCCAAATTTACTGAGAAGAACATGACCCCCTGCTTACTGAGTGAGGGTGACTCTGCAGGTGGACAGATGTGGCTTCTCGGAGCTCAGGGACACAGCCCTCCCTGTTCCTGACTCTGGCTCCTGGTGTCCATCCCCACATAGTGGACCTGAAAATGTAAACCAGACCTGAGGGTCTCCCACTCGTCCCTGTCAGTGATGGCCCACGGCATGCACAAAGGGCCCCCCATGTCCTGCCCCCTCCCTCACCACCATCCTATCTCCTGCCCCTGAGAACACATCTTTGGCACTCCTGGGAATGGGCTGTCTTGCCATTCTCTGGGGAACAATCCCAGGGTCACCTCCTAGGACAGCCCTCTTTGCCCGTCTGGCCAGAGCGCCTTCCCACCACTTGTGGAGGCAACGACAGCGGTTGGACGGGAAATGCCCAAGTCAGGCTCTGCGACGGGACAGGCTCCAGGCCCAGCATTTCGCAGTCGCTTCCTGATAGCCACACGACGAGTCAGGCGTTGGTGCCATTTGTACATGAGGAAACTGAGGCTCAGTGGAAGGCTGAGCAACTGTCACTGTGGCAGAGGTTCTGGCCAAGTCCCCACTCCAGGGCCTCAAGCCAGTCTGCAGCTCAGCTGCCCACAGAGGGACATGCCCACCAGTTACATCACAGTCCTCGAAACCCTGGAGAAATGCCCTGCCTTGACGGGATCTTACGGGTCACAGGGAATCCAGGGCGGAGCTGGCTTCGCAGTGGCTGGTGGACAAGCCTTCGGAGTGGACATGACTGTTGCAGATCCCAAGTGCAGTAGCCAGGGCTAAGAGCGCCATTCGGGGACCACGCTGTGATTCACAAATTTGGTCAGTCTAATGAGTATTCCCCGAGGATGGGAATCCTAGGCTGGCCGAGGGCTCAAAGCAGCTGCCCTGGTGGGGACGCAGCCAGCCGGTGCCAGCCTGGCCAGAGCATGGGACATCAGGCTTCAGTAGAAGTTGGGACGCACTCTCACACTCATTCACACTCGCTCTCACACACACCTGGCCCTGCCAGCTCCTCGATGTGCCTCAGCTGGCTCCACTGCAGGCTTCTCTCACACCTGCTGTCTCTGATTCCCTGGGCTGTGAGCCTGTGGTGACAGCAGGGACTGTGCCTGGTCACCTGGGAGCTCAGGCCTAGACCCTGGACACAGCAGATGTCCCGTGAGCTCTGTGGCACCAACAGATGCAGGAGTGAAGGAGTGAGCAGGCTGGCCAGGTCCCTCGTTAGCCCTGTTCCACCTACAAAGGCTTCAGCCTCTGATAGTAAAGTTACACGGATAAGGAAAAGGCAACCATATTGATGTCACAAATACCAGGATATACGCCACAAGACAGACACCCTGCCAAAGGAGAATTCGCAGATGACTAGTTGCCTGTAAATGGATAGAGAGGGGGTGAGTGCTGGGTGAATGGGCTCCGCCAGCCTCAGTGAGCGGTGGTTCAGGCCAAAGTCAGCCTCTGAAAGGCCAGGCCTGGTTGTTCCCGACCACCTCGTCCTCCTGGCGTCAGGATGACAATGCCACCAGCCAGGGAACCCGGGTGGACCCCGGCTAGGGAGGCCCTTGCATGCATAATCGGGGTGCTCTGGTAGAGATCCTTCCTGGTGATGTGGTCGACAGACCCCCTCTCCCTGTGCTGCTGTGATTTGGGCTCAGTGCCCGCTGACCCATACTGTGGCGACCTGTACCTGTGACGCCCGTCTGGATCACCTTTGTTAGTTATGTGTGCCTGGAGCTTGGGAGCCGTGAAGGCTTGACATTGTCTCGAGAAACTTGAATTTAGCAGCAGGAAAGTGAGTTCCTGACAGCATCTGTAGCCAAGAAAGCTTCCAGGAACCTTCTCATGAGGGGCCTCCCTTGTCCAGGCTGGGTGTAGGCAGATGGAGCAGCCAATGGCTAGCTGGGGGTCAGTGCTGGGGCTGTAGGTCGACCACCAGGAGTCCGGGCCGTGCGTTTTGTGTGGGTGCTTATTTTCAGGTGGACAAGGCAGTTGTGGTGCAAGGGACGTTATGGAGAGGCCACTGCTTGGGTCAGCGTCTTGGCTCCCGCTGTCATTGTCTCAAGTCAGGGGCAACCTGGTGGCCCAGGGCCTGTGATTGGCGGCTCAGCCCTGGAGGATGTCACTGTCAACTTGGTTGCTAGGCAGGTCTGCCCTGCAGGACATCTCCGACTTACAAATCTGTTCCTCATCTTAAAGTGCCTGGCTGGGTGGGCTGTCGGCAGGGCTGCTAGTGACTGCAGTCGCCCAGCCCACCCCCGCCTGCTGCAGTCCTCAAACCCCTGGAGAAATGCCCCGCCTTGACGGGATCTTACGGGTCACAGGGAATCCAGGGCGGAGCTGGCTTCGCAGTGGCGGGTGGACAGGCCCTCGGAGTGGAACGTGGCTGTTGCAGATACCAAGTGCAATAGCCAGGGCTAAGAGCGCCATTCGGGGACCACGCTGTGATTCATAAATTTGGGGTCAGTCTAATGAGTATTCCCAGAGGATGGGAATCCTAGGCTGGCCGAGGGCTCAAAGCGGCCGCCCTACTGGGACGCAGCTGGCCAATGCCAGCCTGGCCAGAGCATGGGACATCAGGCTTCATGGCAGGGGCTGTGCAGAGCCAGAACGGGAAACCCACAGTCGTCTCAGCCCTCCCACCACAGAGGTGGGCGACTTCAGGCACGTGGCCTCAGCTCTGCTCCTGCTTCCTTCTGGTGACACAGGAGCTTCTATGCCTCCTTCCTGGGGGACCTTGGGGATTGAAGGGACAGCTGTACAAAGACCCCTGTCCCCAGAGCCTGTGTGTTCTCCCTCCCTCCTTCCTGACCCCTGGAGCTGGAGCTTGCTGGACCTGGGGAGGCCAGAGCCCTGCCTTCACCATGGCTGTGTCCCACCATCCTCCTCTGCCCGGCCGTGTTCGTTCCCAGGACTGCCCACAGCCTGGGGGCACAGAAACCTGAGGTGTGGACGCCAGAGGCCTGAAGTGGGGTCTCTGCAGGGCTGCGCTCCCTCCTTCTGGGGGAGAGTCCTTGCCTCTTCCAGTTCTGGCAGCTCCAAGCTGTCCCTTGCTGTGGCCACACCTCCCCGCCTTTTCTCCATCCTGTGTGTATCATCACGGCTCCCCCTTTTTCCACCATGGGCACGCCCACCCGAAATCCAGGACGACCTCACCTTGACATCCTTAACTCACTTACATCTGCAAAGACCCTTTTCCAAACCAGGTCACACTCACAGGCTCTGGGGACTAGAACGTGGGCGTAGCCTCCTGGTGTGGGCACAGTTCAACCCATTATATTGTCCCTCTGGGGACCTGAGCCACCCTAGGACGATAAAAAGTGGAGGAAGATGGGGAGAGGAAGGTGGGAAGGTGCCAGCTGACCTTACAGATTGAGGTCATTTGTAAGCACGGAAGGCAGGCAGGCCAGGCTGCTGCCCCAGCTTCACGGAGCCACACTTGAGAGGGCAGAGCTTCGGTTAGTTTTGTGGTGTTCACAGCTTCAGTAGATAAAGAACAAAAAAATACACGCATGCACACACGCACACACGTGCACACAGACGCACATGTGCACACTCACACATGCACACACATGTGCATGCACACATGCACACACACACACAGATGGAAAAGAGGTGCCTCAGAAGAGCTTATTAGATTATGGATTTCTTTTTCAAAATGAAGATTGTTTATTACCTTATAAAATCCAACCTTAGGAGCAATGATACAGGCTCATTTTCTAATTTTCAGACAATTCAAAAAGTAAAAAGGAAACAGTCCCCCCCAAATTCCTCCCTGCTGGTGCCAGAGGTGTCATGGTGACCCGTTTCCTTCGAAATGTTTTTCTGGGCGTGTGGAGTCGGGGACCTCTGCTCGCCGACTTTCCCTCCTGACTCTGCCAGTAACCCGGGCAGGAACCCGTGGCCTGGAGGCCCCCCACCCTGGGCTGACCTCACGTGCTCCGCCCTTCTCCATGTCCCGGACCTCAGCTTGTCCCTGATGTCCACGGCAAAGGAAGAGTGGTTGAGAGCATGCTCTCAAAGGGCAGGACACCGTGCCCTCTTTCACGGGGCTGCTTGTCCCCTGGGATGGGTGGCAGCGTCGGGGAGCAGCCATCCACACGCCTTGGTGCCTCCCTCACAGCCGGCTGGGCTTCCCTGTGCCTCTGAGCGGGAGGACGCAGTTGGGCTTCCCTGGAATCAGGGTCTCCTGTGTTGTGTCCCCGCCTCCCCTGACACAGGCCATGTTCGAGCTGGTCACCTCCGAGGCCTCCTACTACAAGAGCCTGAACCTGCTGGTGTCCCACTTCATGGAGAACGAGCGGATGAAGAAGATCCTGCACCCGTCAGAGGCACACATCCTCTTCTCCAACGTCCAGGACGTCCTGGCTGTGAGCGAGCGGTGAGAGCCGCCTCCCCGTCCAGGCGGCCGAAGCTGGCCGTGGTGCTTGTCTCAGGGCTGCTCTGCTCTTGATTGTTGGGAATTTTCCATAATTAATATGACCAATAATGACATAAATCCAAGATCCACCTCCCCACGCAGCGGGGTGGCCAGTGGCAAGTCCCAGGCCCGTTCCCATCAACCATACCCTGTGGGTCTCCATGGAGCCGTGGCCGGGAGGACCCCCACCCTGAACTGGAGCCATGTTGAGTGGTCTCTCTTACGCACGGAACCCGCAGTTGTCCACTGCAGTCCGTCTCTCAGGCGGGTCCTCGGCCGGTCCATGACCTGTGGGTGTGTCCCCCTGAGCAGTTCACCCTCCTGCAGTTACAGAGCCCCGGCTCGGGCCCCTGGGCTAAGACCTCTGAGCGTAGCCTGGCCTCAGGCTCCCAATCCTCTTGGATGGTGTGAGCCCTAGTTGGGGGAAGTGGTTTTGAGCTTATGGCTGGGCCTGGTTGAAGTCAAGGGTGAGTCAATGGAGGAAGAAGAGACATCCATTGATTCTCTCAAAGAAGGAATGAACTCCGGGCATATTATCGGGGTCAGAGGCCCACTCACCACCTCACTGTGGCCTGGGCAGCTTGGCTGCTAAAGGCCACATGGGGAGGAGCTGACCAGTGTCTGCACTCAGCTGTGAGCCCCGGGCATGCCACGTCACATGTGGCCCTCTGCACTGACACCCACCTGTGCGTTAGTCCCTCCACCTCCCTGCGGCAGGCCCGTCTGGATGGCTCTGGACACAATGGCCACCGAGGCCTGAGCAGCCGGAGAGACCCTCGGCCTTGGCCTCCGCACCTCTTATCTATGTGCTGATTCCTGTTTCACTGTGGGAAATCCCGAGGTGCAGAAGTAAAGACACCCACACAGTGAGCCCTGGGCCGAGGCCCCTGCTTCAGCAGTGACGGGCAGCACAGGGGCAGTCCAGGTTCCCCCACCCCACCCACCCCCATGGGACCATCCTGAAGCAAGTCCTCATGGTCATTTTACTCCCTCCACAAACACAGCAGTCTGTCCCGAGACAGTGATGAGGCGTCTGTCTACCCCCGATGCTGTCGTCCATCCAAACCAGATGTGCCCACGTGTCCCGCCAGCGGGCAGATTCCGGGCCAGTCTCCTGGACCTGCGCGCTGCTTTGTCCCAGCCAGGGTGTGTCCTGAGCCTGCCTGCCCCGCGTCCTCAGCCCAGCCGCTGCCCCTTGCAGGTTTCTCCTGGAGCTGGAGCACAGGATGGAGGAGAACATCGTCATCTCCGACGTGTGTGACATCGTGTACCACTACGCCGCCAGCCACTTCTCCGTCTACATCACCTATGTGAGCAACCAGACCTACCAGGAGAGGACCTACAAGCAGCTACTGTGAGTGTCCCCCCACCTGTCCCTGCCCTCCCTGGTCCCAGGGGCCCCGAGGTTGGCCAGACTGGTGACCGCATCCAGACCTGCCACCTTCCAGGCCAGTGACAGTGCCCAGACCTGGCATGTTCCCAGAGCCTCACCCCACTGGACCCAAAGTGAGTGAGTTGTCGTCCCCCAGGCCCGTCCCAGACCGCTGAGCAGGCCCTGTGCACTCGGAAGAGGAGGAGGCCGAGAGGGCCGGGAGATTGAAAGGGGGATGAGCTAGCAGAAGGGAGGGGCAGGGCAGGAGCTGACTCTGTGGCTACCCAGCCGTGCCCTTGGCTCGATTACCAATCCACCATGTCAGCAACTCCCTTGGAGGTTTCAGTTGACAAGATAATTTTTCGGTCACCTTGCCTCTGTTGAGTTTTTGCACTGGTCACTCTTAAGGTGCTGGGGCCAGCCAGGAGGGCACTCAGTTCCACTCAGAAACTTCGAAGGCCTTTCCGAAGGTGACCTTCCACACCAGAGAAAAGCAGAACTTCTGAGCGATCTCCATTTGGGAAGGAGGAACAGGATCGCAGGCCAGGATACACGACAGGCTGAGGTGGCCTCTTGTTTTTATGAGGACAGAGAGGTCCTCGCCCGTTGGGGGAGCTGGCAAGCTTGATTGGCAGCAGCTGCCGTGCCACCCTGGTCTTGTGGTCATAGTTCCGAGGACAGCTGCTGAGAACACAGCCTTGAGGTAGAGTGGCTGCACTGGCCTTACAGGGCGGCTCCCGAGACGAGCTGGTGACCGGAGGGTTGCCCCCGTGGCCTCTGAGCTCCATTCAGATGGTCTGACAGGGATGCTTTCGTCCGCACGCCTGCTGTCCCTGTGGGTCTGAAGCCTGCCCTTGGCTGGCCTTTCTCTGGGACCCCAGGGTTCCTCGTGGATGAATTCGCGCATCCAGGTGCTCCAGGGTTTGGGAATTGGAACTTGAGGTCAGGCATTGAGAAGAGGCGCATCCAGCAGATAGGTGCCCACGCACCACCGTGCCCGGGAGGCCCTGGGGCCCCTCCCTGTGCCACGTGAGCAGCAGCAGGCACAGCGCCACCACTGGGCACGTGCAGCCGGGGCTGACACTCATCTCCCACAGCCTCCCAGGTCCTGTCAGCGCTGTGCCCAGCCCACCTGTCAGAAATAGCTCAGGCCCTCCTGGCAGGTGATTGGCGCCTGCTGCCTGTTCCCGTCACTACGTGGGTTACCTCGCCATGGTGTCCTCCTGAGCGAAATCATCTAATTGTGTGTCTGATTCACAGACTTGGCCACACAAAGAATCCTCGCCCTCCCACACGCCACCTATTTTGCAGACTTCACGGGCTGGGCCCGCAGAGTTACTGTTGTTAGCTGACCTCTGCATGAACAGTTGATTTCCCATTAGGAAAGAGACAGAGAGAGAAGGAACTCGACACATGTTCCCTGCCGTGGGTCTCCGGGTCCCTAGGAGCTGTCAGTGGGGAGGAAGCGTCTCCATGTGCACCTCCAGGAGAGGCCCACTGCTGTGTCTGTGTCCCCAGCCAGGAGAAGGCAGCGTTCCGGGAGCTGATCGCGCAGCTGGAGCTCGACCCCAAGTGCAGAGGCCTGCCCTTCTCCTCCTTCCTCATCCTGCCCTTCCAGAGGATCACACGACTCAAGCTGCTGGTGCAGGTGCTGCCACGGCCCGCGCCCCCTGGGCTCCGCACGGTCCCCTGCACCACAGGTTCCCTTCTGTCTCCCCAGAGCTCCGTTGGCTTCCTAGGGAGTCCATTTGTTCCACGAGTCCTAATTAAGCTCCTACTGTGTGCCAAGCATCTCCCTGAGCTGTGAGGGCCCAGCCAGAGAAACCAACGGATACAACCAGGAAATGGTTTTGACCATGAGGACAATTAATGAGGTCACCGAATTAAGGTGACTCCCTCACTCACCACTGCCAGTGGGGCAGGGGGCAAAGAAAGATAAGCGACATTCAAACTGAGTCTTGGCTTGGGAGGAGCCAGCCAGGTGGCCATCTGGAGGAAGGGGCATTCTATGTAGAAGGGACTGGATGCACAAAGGCCCTGGGGCAGCAGGGATCACAGGAACAAGGTGGGAGTGACTTAGTCAGAGGCAGACTCGGGCCTGGGGCTCCATCCTGTGTGGTCTTCACCTGATCTGAGGGTGCTTTTCCGGGCTCACTGTGGCAGCTGCAGAGGAAGGGCCGGAGGGACAGTGACTCAGTGAGCTGAAATCAGTGACAAAGGAAGGAGGACAGACCAGGAGAGACTCCCCGGCTTTTAGCCTGAGCAGCCTGGTGCCCTCGGGGAAGTCAGGAGGGGAGGAGCCAGGGCTGGGCTGGAGCCAGTGGGGTTGGTCGTGACCTTGAGCAGCTGAGGAGCCACTTCCAGTTAGAGGGAGAGGTCAGTATTTAGTAGAAGAGGCCACCCAGGAGGGAGAGAAGGGGCAGTCAGGCCCTGAGACAGAGCCCCACCTGCCTGAGAGGGAGCAACCAGGAGAGAGGGAGGAACCAAGAGAGGCGCAGCCACGGACCCTGCAGGGGACAGGCCAGAGGGGTGGGGGCAGCCCAGCTGCCCCGCCAGGACAGCAGCTGGCCAGTGTGTCCAGTCAGGTCCTGAGCCTCAGGAAGCCACTGGCTGTGGGCAGTGAAGGGCCATGTGAGTCCCACTGAGGCCCCAGATGATGTCCTGGAGCCACAGCTGTGGAAGTCAGGGTCAGGCAGCGGGGGCGGACACCAAGGGGCAGCTGGCTCAGAAGCAGAGGGGAGGAGGCCGGGAGGAGGTCTCAGAAGCACAGGAAGCAGCATCAAAGAGGTAGCGGCTGAGGCTGTGGAATAAAGGAGGGACCGGAGGAATGTTTTTAACGGAGAAAAACTGAAACAGTTTCTAGGGATGCAGAGTATCCCTAGATAGTTTGACATGTTGTAGAGACGAACATACATGGATACATAAAGACCTTGATTTATGTGGGATGAAAACCAGAGTGAGATTGAAACCCACCTGCGTGGTGGTGTAGGAGAGCAGGGGTAACTGGGGGGCCCTAGGGAAGGACTCGGAGGAAGTGTGTTTGGGGATGAGGTCCACCTGGAACTGCAGGTCACAGCACTAGGGTACCCAGGGACATGCTGAGATGAGCACACAGCAGGCCACGGGGCTGACACTGTCCTCCATTTGAGGCCACCAATGTGACCTGATCGAAAGGAACTTTTGCTCTAATGAGACAGCTGAGCAGCATTGGCCAGTAGGGACAGTTAATGACAGGGTTTGTGACTGGCCTCGCATGGTGAGGAAGGAGCGGAAGGTACCTGGGGAAGCTCGCAGGTCTCTGGCTTGGCTGCTGGGAGAGGAGGGCAGGCAGGGGTGGAGGAGAGAGCTGGGGCCAACACCGGGGCAGCTGGAGACATTGGGTACAGCCATGGTGCATGACAGCCAGGAGGACCGGGAGATGGAGACCTCACCAGGCACCTACACCATGGGTACGGGAGGATTGCCAGGAGAAACCATGCCTGGCCCCAAACTCGGGGGAAAGCACCCTGAGCTCGAAGTTTTGTTAATTGAAGAAAACGGAACAATTGGAGAAAAGACAATTGTTTATTGATGGGACCAAAGTTCAGGAAGCCTCAGGACCAGGCTCCCAGTAGCAGCTGAGGGAGGGAGGGGAACCGCAGGCCCCCGCAAGGCCCTTGGCGCCTGTCCAGGACAGGGGCTGGACTGGGCTGTGCTCATCGTACCCTGGCAAGCCTTGGGATGGGGAACCTCCACCCTTGGTGTGTCAGATGGAGGGCTGTGTGTGTGTCACGGTCACAGCTCCTGGGCTGGCTTGGCAGGAAGGGTAACGCAGCCTGTCCCCACTGGCAGAACATTCTGAAGAGGGTGGAAGAGAGCTCGGAGCGTGAAGGGACTGCCCTGGAGGCCCACAGGGAGCTGGAAATGGTGAGTCCCTCCTGCTTGCACGTGGGCCAGCCGGCCACTTGCCCACATGCGCCACCCTCCCGCCAGCCCCCTCGTCTCTTTAGACCAGGCCCTTCATTTAATTTTTACTTTTACCATCAAGAAAAGTCACCAGAGCTAAAAATGTGCCCAACGGTGCTTGAGCAGACCTTCCTGCCCTCGAGACCCCCTCAGCACCCTCCTCCACTAATCTGTTCACGGTGGGTGTTGGGGCAGCCACAGGACACTCGGGGACACTCTTCCCCATCGTGGAACTCTGCCACCATGACAGGCCCAGGCCTCCATCTGCTGCCTGGTGTTGCTCATGGCAAGTGTCTGGGGCCCATACAGACCCTAAGCTTGTCTTTGCCTCTCTCCTCAAGTCACAAATGATCTCCCTCCCTCCTATGGCTGTGTGGAGGCTGTTCCTCTTCTTCCTGTCCACTGGCAAGCTCTTTGTCCCAACCCTGTCCCTCCACCCCCCTTCCCCATCCCTCAAGACTCACCCCCGCACCGGTCTCCTGGGAGGATTCACTGGCCCTGCCCGAGAGCGCTGGGCTCTCCCTGTGGCTGAGTGGAGGGTCCTCTCCTGATCCTCAGAGAGGCAGAGGACTCCTAGAAGTGTCCGGCAGGCAGGACTCGGGAGGGGCCAGCAGCTCCGTCTACATCCTCAAGTGCTCCCGGGGCTCTGTCCTGTGTGCCGAGCGGCTGGCATCACTGCAGCTGAGAGCCAGTTGGGGCTGCTGTGTGGGGTGTCTCCGTTGGGCTCTTGACTGCCATGATGGTGGACAGTGGGGGGCAGGAAGTCCTTTCCACTCTGTTACCGAGGGGCAGAACTTCATGAAAGGAGTCCACCTTCCATGGACGAGTGGCATGGTTCTGTGCAAGTCGGGAGGCCAGCGCTTCTTAGCTCAAGGCAGTTGTTTCCCTGTTTGGGCTGCTGCCTTGTCCTTCACCCAGGCAGGGGTCACAGAAATTTGCTGGCAGTTGTCCCCTTTATCATTGGCAAGGACAGTTCTCCTCCTGATCCTCACAGGGCACAGCTGTAGCCACCACGGGGCTGGCCAGGGGGCTCAGCAACCTGCCAGCTGGGCAGCACCTGTCAGAGCCCCTGCCCGCCCAAGGCAGAGCCTCCTGGGCCCCCGTGCCAGCCCCACGGGAGCAGCCAGGCTGGGCTGCAGGCGGCAAGTCCTGTCAAAGGCCACATGCCCCAGAGGGTCTCCCTGTGGTCATCCGGGGGCCAGGGGATGCTTTCAAATAGATTCCTTTCTACTTTCATTTCCCTTTTGCTTTTAATGAAGGGTATACTGTTTCTCACCGCTCACTTTTTTAAAATAAAGGGCTTTTTTTTTTTCTAATTTATAAAAGTAATCAATGCTCAACACAAGAAAATTCGAAGATGCTCATAAGCAAAAAGAAGAGAGCGAAGGTGCCTGGCCATCTTGTACCCAACTTCCAGCAGGCTGCCAGGCCTCCAAACAGCCCTGCGCACGCAGGCACACACACGCTTTCTTTGCCAAAGGGGGTTAGTTCCCAAACTCCCATCCAATTTGGTACGTGCAGAGTTCACAGCCTTGTTTGCGGTTCCATGGGACTGTCACGTGGGTGTTCTGTCTTCATCCCAGTCAGTCCCACGTGATGGACGGGTCCCATGCTCAGGGACCCCCCCATAGGCACAGACATGGCCTGCCGCTGCCCTGGCCTGTGAGCCAGCACAGAGCTTAGTTCCTTCAGAACGAGGCCCTGAGGTCCTGGTGGTGTCACAGCCCCGCAGTCCCAGCCTCTTACTGGGGAGCCAAGGAGTCACATGCACACCCTCTGTGGGCAAGAGGCCAACCCGGTGCCTCGCAGTGCATCTTCCAGCCCGGCTGACACTGTGCCTTGTCGGGAAGTACCCTCTGGGGACAAGGCACTGAAGGCCACCAGACTCTCAGGTTTTCACCTAGAGAAAGGAGTGTGGCTGGGACGTTGGGTGGGCTGGCCTGAGGCAGCGTCTCCTGTCCCAGGTGGTGAAGGCGTGCAACGAGGGCGTCAGGAAAATGAGCCGCACAGAGCAGATGATCAGCATCCAGAAGAAGATGGAGTTCAAGATCAAGGTGAGCCTGGGGTGGCAGTCAGCCTGCACCGCACCTGTGCACCCCACCTGTGTGCCCAGACTTGCCCCAGCCTGGGCCACCTCCCCGGCCCTGCTGAATCCAGTGCTCATGCCCAAGCCCCTCCTCCAAACTTGCCTTCTGAGAGCGAGTGCCTGGCCCCAGCGCTGCCTGCCGGCCCGAGGCCCACTCTTAATTACTCACCGTGAGACCTTGAGCGGTCAGTTCATGGTGACAGGGACTACTCTAGGATTCTCATGTCTGAGAATTTTCAGGTTATCAACCTTTTCCCCAAACTTTACATAAAACTTTGGCTGTTACTAAAGCCCTGAGGGCCCCTGGGGCCTGCGTTTCTGGTGACAGGCACCCAGCACACAGCGCCCACCAAGGGCCCCAGAGATGGGCCTGTTGGGGGAGGCCAGGTGTTTTCTGGGCTGACGGCCGGTGCCCCACTCCCACCTGTTCCGCACAGCCAGGGCCAGCACCAGCCCCTGCAGGCCGGGCTCCTGCTCTTTGGTAGCTCTCTTTGCTCTTCCTGTGAACATGGCCACCCCGACTCTGCACCAAACAGGCTGAGCCTAGTGAGATGCTGATCACACACATGGCGCACACACTTGTTCACACACAGTATACACATGGCAGCACACACATGCTCACACATGCAGTATACACATGGCAGCACACACATGCTCACACACAGTATACACATGGTGCACACACTTGTTCACACACAGTATACACATGGCAGCACACACATGCTCACACATGCAGTCAGTATACAGATGGCAGTGCACATGCATGTGCGATACACACACAGTGGTACACACACATTTAAGAAACACACAGCACACACATCAACACAGGCACAAACACATGCCCTAAAGCCCACGTGTGGGTACATACCCGGCACAGAACACACGTGCACACGCAGAAGCCACACACGGGTTGAAGCACATACGCACACAGGTGAAGCACACTTGCACAAGGGGCGCGCATTCACACACACTCACACCGCTGCTGTTTCCCTGTGCCTGGCCAGGCCCAGCCGCCCTCCACCGTCACACCAGTGTCACTCGGTCAGTTTGCTGGGGGCTGGGGTGGGCAGGAGGGTCCAGGCCCTGACCCTGCCGCCCCTCCTAGTCGGTGCCCATCATCTCGCACTCCCGCTGGCTGCTGAAGCAGGGCGAGCTGCAGCAGATGTCAGGCCCCAAGACCTCCCGCACCCTGCGGACCAAGAAGCTCTTCCGAGAGATTTACCTCTTCCTCTTCAATGACCTGCTGGTGATCTGCCGCCAGATTCCTGGGTGAGCCGATGGGATGGCATGAGCCCAGGTCTGACCACGGCCCCAGGAGCTGGGCAGGTGGAGGACAGAGCTTGGGCTTGGGATCAGGTTTGGAGGTCCCCTGCTGTTGTCCAGGAGCCTCGGTTTCCCCTGCCGTGAGGTGGGTTCTACTCCCGTTAGTGTCTGGCACCCGGGAGCGCTCAGCCACTGCCCGCCCCACACCCTGGCCAGGAGGCTCCTGGGGGACAGGCGTGCAAGGGCTGGCAGGGGGCCGAGGAGGCTGAGGAGGCAGGGCTGGGCTGTGCTGCCTGTCCTGCCACACTGACACGCCCACCTGCTCCCTTGGTCTCCAGAGACAAGTACCAGGTATTCGACTCGGCCTCCCGCGGCCTGCTGCGCGTGGAGGAGCTGGAGGACCAGGGCCAGACGCTGGCCAATGTGTTCATCCTGCGACTGCTGGAGAACGCAGATGACCGCGAGGCCACCTACATGCTGAAGGCATCTTCTCAGTGAGTGCCCTGCGCCGGCCCCACCCTGCAACACCCAGGCGGCCCCTCCCAGCCACCCTGCTAGGAGGCCTGGCCTCCTCTGCCACAGGCCTGCTCCCAGGTGGAATGAGACTCCACACCTGTGGGAGGCCAGCCTCTGGGGGTTCTGCCCCAGGGCCACAGCTTCGGGTGTGGGCCAGTGCGGGGCAGCTCAGTGTGCAGGTGCGCTCCCTCGGGGCTTCACACTCAGGCCAGCCTGAGAACTGGGTGGATGACCAGGGGACCGCCCTCTTCCTCCCTCCGCCCCTCACCCGAGTGTCTTCCTGTCCATCGCTCCCCTCTGAGCTGCCTGGACAGCTGCCTCGCAGCCCAGAGCTCTCACAGGACCCACGAGACCAATGTGGGAGGGACGCTCCCTGAGCCGTGGGCCCAGCACTCCTTCCTGGCCACCCGGCCAGCCTGCTCCCTCTGCAGCTGCCTCGCCACTCCCACCAGGGTCCCCAGGGCTGGGGGTCCCATTAGCCCTCCCCACCCTGCTGCCGCTAACAAACCACGGCTTCCCTGAGATGCCTCAGATGCACTCTAGGGAGTGACTCCCCCTTTCTGCCGGGCTTTTAAAATGCACCCCGTGAGGAGAGCCTCCTGGGAGCTCCTCCTGTCGCAGGGCATTGGCCTGCTGGGAAGGCTGGGGCCACACGCTGGGTGGGTCTGCTCTGCTCTGCTCTGCGGTTGGGGCACCATCCTCTTCCCTGTGCCAGGAGTGAGATGAAGCGGTGGATGACCTCGCTGGCCCCCAACAGGAGGACCAAGTTTGTTTCCTTCACATCCCGGCTTCTGGGTGAGTGCCCGCCTGGCAAGTGGCCACTGCGGGGGCTTTGTACTCGCTCCCTGGGCCACAGCTTCAGGCCTCGCACAGGGCAGGAGCTTAGCACCACCAAGGTGCCAAGCCCAGCTTCGCCAGTGCTGGACGGTCAACACAAAGACAGCAGTCACTGGGTCATAGGTGACAGGAACCACGGGGACACCAGGAGGAACCTGGGCCCAAACTCCAAGGCTCTTTGGGGGTTGCCGGTTATTTGGAAAGCATCTAAGACCCAAAGGTGCACGAGCCCAGCGCCTCACAGACTAGCCACGGCTCCTGGCTGTGACCTCTTGTCCTGAGCCCCCAAATCACCTCCAGGGCCACACCCTGGGGTGCCTTCTGAAGCTTCAGCTGAGCACCGCCTCACATTTGGAGGGTCCCTTCCTCCGGTGTTCTCTCCCAGAACTCCTGGCGGCGAGTCGGGGGGTGTTGCCTTTGGAAGCAAGCCCCCCTCCCCCTCGGAGAGCCCCGTCCGTGGCTGGGGAGTTCACAGTCCTGTATCAGGTGGGGCTCAGCCACCCACCGGCTGCAGGGCTGTCCCTGCCAGCCACTGCTTGCCGGGGTGCAGGTGTGGGGAGATGGGGACACGCCATCCCCCCTCTCCTCCCATCAGACTGCCCGCAGGTCCAGTGCGTGCACCCGTATGTGGCCCAGCAGCCTGATGAGCTGACACTGGAACTGGCTGACATCCTGAACATCCTGGAGAAGACGGAAGATGGTGAGGCCCCGGGGACCCCAGCCCTGCTCCTCTCCCAGCCCAAGGGTTTTTTTTCCGGTGTCTACTTTCCTCCCCAAAGTGAGGTCCCACTTCACCCCTCCCAGCAAGCCCAGCCCGCAGGCATTCTGCGGCCCCCTGCCCTGGGACGTCTGGCTTCAATCCTCCCATCACAGTGGAAGGGAGGTGAGCAGAAGGCCATGCCCCAAGCCAGGCCTCCAGGGAAGCCTGTGACCACTAGCCTCGGGGCTCCCTGGGGGCCAGGACCCCCCCCACACACACACACACACACAGATGACATCAGCACCGAATGAAGTTCCTTCCCAGACCCTGCAGAATTCAATTTTATTGAATTAATTTAATTATTTACAGTACTGAGGGTTGAACCCAGAGGCTGTCCACCACTGAGCCACATCCCCGGCCCTTTTAAAACTTTTATTTTGAGACAGGGTCTCTCTAAGGCACTGAGAATCTCCCTAAGCTGCAGAGGCTGGCTTTGAACTTGTATTCCTCCTGGCTCAGGCTCTCAGTCGCTGGGATCACAGGTGTGGCCACTGGGCCTGGCTCCCCTTCCCCTGTTTCTCTGCCCAGGCCAGGCGACCAGCCCATCCCGGGAGGCCTCCTCCACTCAGGCCCCCTCTGGGCCCCATTCCAGATTCCTTCTTCAACTGGATACACACCTGCCCAACGGTGACCTGCAGAGAGCATGCCCCAGGCCCCCCAGAGCTGGTGGGAATATGCCCCCAGGCCCAGGTTGGGGGTGGGGAGAAGGGGGCCGAGCAAGCAGTGGGGGAGAGGGCCAGAGCACTGTGACTCAAGTGTTACCAGCTCAGAGGCCACTCTCAGCTGGTTATAGTGGCCTTTGGGAGGCTGAGGCTCTGAGAGGAACTGACCAATAAGAAGGTGACCTCCGGGTCCAGGCTTGGGACATGGACTCCAGAATGGGCTCCTGCGTCAGTGTGGAGCTGGTGTCAGAGCCTGCAGCCTGGTCCTCTGCATTCGCCTCCTGCCTTCCCCCCTCACGGGGATGAACCTGGCCTGAGCACTCAAGCCGGGTGTGCCAAGCTGCTGCCCTCTGGGAAAGGCCAGCTGGACTCGAGTCCCTCAGCTTTGCTCCCTACACAGACAGGAGCCTTAGCTGGGGGAGCTCCACCCAGGCCCCGGCTCCTGACCCTGCTGCCCCTCCTCCTCAGGGTGGATCTTTGGGGAGCGCCTGCATGACCAGGAGAGAGGCTGGTTCCCCAGTTCCATGACTGAGGAGATTCTGAACCCCAAGATCCGCTCCCAGAACCTCAAGGAATGTATCCGTGTCCACAAGATGGATGACCCCCAGCGCAGCCAGAACAAGGACCGCAGGAAGCTGGGCAGCCGGAATCGGCAATGACCCCTGTCCCAGGCACTCACCTGCACAAGGAGGGGCGGGGGAGCAGGCCTGGCTGGGACCCTGGCAGACAAGGAGGCCCTGGGAAAGGAGAGACTGGCACCTCCCCAGGGGTGCGGCAGGAGGTGCGCACGCTGGTCCCTGCCCATGCGGTGAGTGTGCCAGTGTCCCCGCCCTCGTTCACTCACAGACTAGCAACAGCTGCCTCCCCTGGGTCTTCGTGAAGGAGTCATGTTGTGAGCAGTACATACACCACCTCCCTCTCTTACCTCTTAGCGGGGTTGGGGGACAGGCATGCCCAGGGATCACTAGTGTCCCTGAGCCCGGCGTCCCTGGCAGGCCAGGCGGAGGGTGACAACTGTCAGGGTTCCCTGCACTGCACGCGCCCTTCCCTACCTTGAAAGCCGTTAGAATCTACCAGACACACCCAGGGGCTGCCTTTGCCTGACGGAGCTTGATGAGCGGCCCTTGGTCTCTGACTCACGGGTCTGAGACCAGCCGCCTCTGTCCTCCTTCCCCTGCCTCTGCCGCCTCCGGCTGCACGGCCAGGCCCTGCTCCGTGGCAGGCCTGCCCAAGCTTGGCTGGGGGTCCATGTCGCCTCTGGCTCCTTGATGGGCTGGATATAACTTGTGTCTTCTGGCCTCTTAAGGAGCCCAGGTGTTTTATGGAATGAATTGGTCACTGCATCGTGTATGGTTATGGTTCTGAGAAAAGCAAATATCATTTTTTTGGCTGCATTAAAAGAAGCATCATGTATAAAATATAAGAAGCGAAGGTCTAGCCTTTATTATCCGGGTGCACACAGGAAGGAGGCATTTGGTTCTGGCCCAGGAGATGGGAGCACCTTTCAAGGCCAGCAGGGGGAGGCATGTTCCAAAGGATCAAGTCTTCAAGTCCCTGAGGAGGCTTCCAGGGCAGGGGAGAGCAGCCAGGGTCAGGTCTCAAATGGATGGGGATTTGAGCCTCCACTTGTGGAAGGAGGGAAGCAGCTGTCAGAGGGAGTGGGGGACATCTTTACTGCATGGAATTGAGAAGAGCTTTGCAAGATCACAAGGGCAGTGAGGTGGTCCCCAGGTGGGGGGAACTCCCCACCTGACCCAAACACTAGTTCAAGCCTTCAGTAGCAGCCAGTTACCAGGGGCTGCAACCTCGTCCCTGGCCTGGCTGGCCAGCAGAGCTACCTCATCCCCACCCCTGATAATGTCCCCTGAGTGTCCAGGGTGTATGCTGGGACCAGGAACACTCTGCCAGGACGAAGAACACTAGAACAGGCCTTGGAGTTAGAGCCAGTGGGACTTCCTAGCATCTTCCCACGGGCCACAGTGGGGGTCTTTGGCCTTTCTGAGACCTCAGACCCTTTGAGCATCCCTGGGAGCATGTGTCACCTGCAGCAATGTGGGCCAGCTGCGGGGCAGAGGGCCCTGGGCGCAGTAAAGAGATCTAGCTCTTGGGGCCTCTTGATGCACCCCCACTGGGAGCACCTACACCAGGGTCCCCCAGGAGTGGGCAAGGGAGGGGGCCTCTTTCTGAGCCCTGGGGTGGGAGAGGGGACAAGCTAGGGCCTGGAGTGGGTGATCACCCAGGCTTTCTGAATCTGGAAACAGCATATTGAGTTGGATTATCTTCTCCATTGAGGATTTTGGCTGTTCAAGGTCATGTGGAATGAAATAATTTCAACAGTTTCATGAAAATTTATATTTTCATGAAATATAATGTGCTCTGGGGAGACTGCCAGGAGTGGAAGTTGTTCCGCAGGCTTCTATGGGGTCTGCCCCAAGTGTGTGAGTGTGGTGATGGTGCGGTTCTGCCTCCAGAGTACCAAGGAGAAACAGGTCTTGGCAGGAAAAGGTGCCCTTGGGGGCTCAGGGAAGCCAAAGAGGCCAAACAGTTTTGAGAGAAAATGGTTTTAAAAGGGAGGGTCAGGGGGTAGGGGAGACAGCTTCTCTCCAGCACCCCTGCCCAGGCCTCCTCCAGCTGCATAAACCACCACCAAGGGATGGCTTCTACCTGCCACTTCCATGCCCAGCTCCCACAGCCCCAGGGTGGGCTAGAGTTGTGCTTCAGACCTGTGTGCCCAGAGCAGGCCACTGTGAAACCTCTCCAAATGATCAAAGCTGTTTCCTGTTAAGTGTGGAAGACAGAAGGCAAGACAAAGGACAAAGTTCCAGGAGTTGGGGGGAAAGGCGATTGGATGGACAGACAGCCTTATCCACACTCCCAGGTTCCCACAAGGACAGCTGAGCTTGGAAAGGCCAGCCCAAGGGACTCTTCAAGTCCCTGTTAAATGCAGTAAAACCTCACCCAGGCCTGGGGGTGAGGCTGGGGAGTGGGAACAGGGGTGATAGCACCCAGCTTCACTCCTGGACCCATTCTACTCCTGGGGCTACCTGGAGGAGGGGGATTCCCAGGACCCTGAGGGCCTGGGGCTGTGAGTAGAGATGAGATCCCTCATGTCCATATCTAAGTCAAATGATGGCATCGTCACCCCAAACAACCTGGCCTTTGGGAGCCTGAAAGCCCTCCACCATCCCCAGGATCTCTAGAAGCAGGGCTGCGGCTGGACAAGCTCTGTAGCACAGTTCTACCCTGTCGGCCTCAGCTTCCCTTAGCCTAGGTCTCTCCCGGCCCAGCAAGGGGGTGGATGTGGGGACCTGCCCCAGGTGCTACGGAGACCGAAGCCGGGTCCAGGGCCCAAGAGCAGGAGAGCTGCCCGGCTCCTTAGCTTGCTAAGCTCGCTTGCACTCGAGCACCCACCACCCGCGGCCCCGCTGCGCGCACACAGCGCCCTGTTCTGCGCGCTCTCTCCAGCACATCACATGCACGCGGGCTCGGAATCGCCGCGCACACGTGCGCATGCACTGGCGCACGTGGCCACCCGCGCACGTGTTGCACGCCTGCAGCCCTCCACCCACGGCGCAGCACACGCGGCGCTGACCTGCGTGCTCTCCCCGGCTCTCGCGCGCACTCTGCCACACCTCCACGCGCTCACACTCACGCGCGGGCGCACGCGCAGACACAGGGCGCTTGGGGAGTGCAGCCGAGTCGCGCCGCAAGCGGTCGCGGCTCATTTATTTGCTTCAGGAGGTGGAAAACTTTCTCAGCGCGACGACCACTAGCGCCAGCACCACGCAGGTGGCCAGCAGGGCGGCGATCACGATGGCTGCGATGGCACCGGGCCCCAGCGAGCCTACGGAGGACGGAGACCGCATCAGTCCCTGGCCCCAGCCGCGGCCGCCCTTCCCTCCGCTCCCCTTCCCCTCCCGCCCTCTTCCCCAAGCTTGTACCGCCGCCGTGGTCCAGCCGCTCCCGCGCCGTGCTGTCCTCTGGGCCGGGCACAGAGGTGGGAGACTGTGCAGCGGTGGCTGCAGGCTGCTGGCCAGGGCTGGTACTCTCAATGGGGCCTTCTCCCGACGGCAGCTCGGCGGGTTCGTTCCACAGTGTGGGATCAGGCTCCTGCGGACCCTCGGCTGCAAGGTCGGAGACAGGCGGTGGAGCCAGGTGGCTGGGCCCACTGCGCTTTGGAGTTCCCCTCCCTGGTCGGTCAACTCAAGGTGCCGTGTGTAAAGCTCTGAGTTCAACACTACACTGGCCTTCCCATTTCACAGGCAAGCAAACTGCAAAATTCACCCCCAAGACTGGGAGGCCATGTGTACATTGGTCCAGATGCCTGCCAGGGGCCGGGAGCCAGGCTGCCTCCAGAATGTGAGGACAGATTGATGGGGGTGGGGAGACCTATGGGCCCTCAGAAAGAGACTGAGCCTGGGGCTGGCAGGGTAACTTCAGGGCAGTGGAGGTGGGGTTCATGGACCCAAACCCCAAGACCTCCTTCACCTGAGGAAAAGACTGGGAACCAGGGTCCCTACATACCCCGAGACCCTCAAGGGTTCCACTGCCACAAGGAGAGGCCCATCCAGGCCCTGCCTGATACAGGTGACCCTGCTCCTCCTGAGCCTGACTGGGGCAGTCCTGCCACCACAAGGCAGAGGGCTACCCTCCACAACCAAGACTGCTGTCTCCTGAACAGGGAGGTGGAAGAGGGGAGGGGCGGCCAACAAGGGAGGCCCACCATCAAGCCAGGCTCCTGCACATCAGTCCCTGGGCAGCTTTCTGCAAGAGCCCTTCTCTGCTTATGAGGTTGGAGTCAGCAGGGTTGGGGGAATGCAGGGACCCCAGAGAGCAGGAGGGAGACAGCCTTAATCCCATAGGGAGCACAGGATGAGAGGCCTGGTAATGATCTTCTCCTTGGGCCCCAACCAGCCTCACCACCCAACCCTCAGGACCCCGGTGGAGCTCCAGAGCAACACACCGAGGGCCCACCCACCAAACCCAGTTCAGTTTAAGGCCAGGATGGCAGGCGGGCTCCAGGCCTCTCCTCCCAGCCTTCATCCCACAGCGAGGCTTCAGCAGTCAGGGCTGCCACGCCCTCCTGATAACTGGGACGGAACTGTGACCCAGAGACAGCCCCCAAGCAGATCCTTAGAGCGAGCTTATTGGATGTTGTGTCACTATACGACATCGCATTGACTGCAGCTGTCTGTGGCATGGGGACCATTCTTATTCCTTTTCAGGAGCAAGAAAGCCAAGGCTCAGGTTGAGCTGTGGGGTCACGTGGTAAATGGTCTGCAGCCCTGGACAGTGTGCTGAAGGCTGCACTTCCTGTGAGGCTGCGGGAAGCTGCAGTTCTGTTCCTGTAGGTTCAGCAGCCTGTAGGTTCCTGGGCCCTTTCATGCCCAGGAGCTCTATCCCTGGGCACTCCCCGGGCCCTGAAGGCCTCACTGGGGCAAGCTCACCAACTCCAGGAGAGGGGTGCTCAGAGAAGACACAGGGACCTCTGGAGCTTCCTGCCCATCTGGGGCAAACCAAGAGGAAATGTCAGCCAAACCCACACTTAGGGTCAGTCTTAAAATAACTGGGCCCTTCAAAAATGTCAGGGTCAGGAAAGGCAAAGGAAGGTGGAGGACTTGTTACAGATTATAGAGGAGACAGGTAAACAAAGGTGTGTTCCTGATTGGGGGGGCAGGCCTGAGGTAGAAGATATTTGGAATCTGTGGGTGGAATCTGAATCGGGCTGTAGCTCAGGCTCTGTCAGTGTCCCTCTGGTTTTAATTGCGGACTCTGCTTGTGTAAGACAAGGTGCACGTTCTTAGGAAACATTTGGGAGCAAAGAGGCATCATCGTCAGCAACTTCCTTTCAAACCATTCGACATCCAGGAAGCAGGGGCGATGCAGCAGAATGTTGGTATTTGGTAGATTTAGGTGAAGCATCTACTGGAGTTCACTGGATTATTTTTTTGCAACTTTTTGTGAACTTAAAATCTTTTCACCATAAAATGTAACCAGGTCCCTGGCTCCCCAGACTCTGCCCCTGCCACCTCCTCAAAAAGCCTGGTCTGGGTCAGTTGTGAGGCTCAGCTTGCAGGCAGGGACCACTGTCACGTTCCTTAGGGCTTCATCAAATCAGAACCCTTTTCAGAAAAGATCAATGGCAGTCAGGTATGGTGGCTCATGTTGGCAATCTCAGTGGCTTAGGAGGCTGAGGCAGGAGGACCACGAATTCAAGGCCCAGACTCAGGAATTTAGCAAGGTCCTAAGCAATTTAGTGAGACTTTGTCTCAAAATAAAAAAAATAAATAAATAAAGGCCTGGGGTTGTGGCTCAGTGGTAGAGTGCTTCCCCATGTGTGAAGCAATGGGTTCAATTCTCAGCACCACATAAAAAATAAATAAATAAAAGATATCGTGTTCCTCTACAACTAAAAATATTTTTTAAAAATAAAAATGGCTGTGCTGGGCGTGGTGGCATATGCCTGTAACCTCTGCGACTTGGAAGGCTGAGACAGGAAGATCGCAAGTTCAAAGTCAACCTCAGCAAAAAGCAAGGCCTTAAGCAACTCAGTGAGACCCTGTCTCTAAATAAAATACAAAATAGGGCTGGGGATGTGGCTCAGTGGTCAAGTGCCCCTGAGTTCAATTTCCAGCACCCAGTAAATAAATAAATACAGCTGTGAATGTGGCTTAGTGGTTAAGCAACCGTGGGTTCATTCCCCAATATAAAAAAAAAAAAAAACCCACTTGGTGGTCTACCTCCCAGAAGACCCAGGGCTGAACTGCCACACTGGTGTCTGGCTGCCACTCTGGCCCAACCTTGAAGATCATCCTTTGAGGAGGGGGAGGTGACCCAGCTAGGCTTCCCATGTTGCAGCCAGGAAGGGCAGGGTCTGTAGCCTCAAAGCTCCCATGAAAGGTCCCAGACCCTAGGCATGCGGGCCTTAGGCTCCAGGGGCTAGGCAAGAAAAGGCCAGAGTGTGCCCATTGCTTGGCAAGCCCTGAGGTCTGGGGTTCACAGACTGCCTGTCTGCCCTGAGAAATGGACAAACCGCTGGCCCTCTGCTTGTTCACCACATGCCCAAGACAGACTGGCAGGCAGGCACCTCCCTGACCCACCACTGTGGCCAAGGCTCACCTCTGATGCTGGGCATCTGACCAGAGAGGCCGCCCAAGGGCTTCTGGGTACCAGGCCCAGCCGACCTGGGTGGTGCCTGCTGGCCTGGGCCAGAGGCTAAACTCACCCCAACCCACCAGCAAAGGAAGTGCAGCTGTGGGAGCCCCGTGTGCCCATCTCCACCTGCATTGCTCTGTTACAGGCAATTGCCTGTCCTCCCCCAAATTGGTGCTGGGAAGCTGTCAGCCAGTTTGCCCCTAGGAGGCCCTGTCAGACGAGGGTGAAGATGGGCAAAGAAAAGCCACAGGGACCAACAGGAGCACAGAGCACAGCCTGCAGTCCCCCCAGTTCAGAGGACTGCCCAGCAGGCTAAGTGACAGCGCGTGAGGGTGGGGAAGAGGAGATGCGGAGGACTGTTGCCTTGGCAATGGTGGGACCCAGAACTTCAAGGACGGAGTGAGCGATGGCCTGGGCCTCCATGCTGGGCGGAAGCCAACAGGGACAGTGGGGGCCTGATGGTGCTGCCACAGGCCTGGGCACCTCAGGCTCCCCCAGTTACCCTGCCTTTCAGTAAATAAGTTTGTTTAACACTCCATCTGACCACAGGGCCCCAAGGCCAGGCACTGTGTTCACAGGCGGCCTTTGTGCGGAGCCATGAAGGCCCTTTTCATCCCTGGCCTGGCCTCCTGCCGGCTCAACCTGGCTCACTCCCCCACCCCAGTGGCTGCAGCCACTGGCTCCTGGCAGAGAGGACAGCAGACTAGCGCTCTTTCCCCTCCTTCTTGCCACAGGACCCCAGCCCAGGAAAGTCACATCTGCTCAGTTTCTATCTAGCCCAGAGCCAGATCCCAGAGTCCCCAAACATCCTCCTTCCCAGAAGGGTCAGAAGAATAGCCAGAACCCCAAACCCTGGGCAGATTGGTATGCTGTGGCCCCTTGCCTGTGGGGCCTGCCTGTTGGTAGCACATGTAGAAGGAAGAGGGAAGTGAGGCCAGGTGAGATCCTGGCTGTCCCCAAAGCCCACCAACCCCTGTGTGTGCACAGTCTGACCTAGACTGGAGGAGGCCTGGGCTGGGAGAGCCAGCAGCCCCAGGCCACAGGGAGGTGGGCTCAGTAGTTTCCTTAGGGTGGGGGCTGCAGGGATCTCAACGCTAAGGTCCAAGCCGTAGGAGACACCTCCTACACTTAAGGTTACTTCCCCCAATTCCAAGGCCATCACATGGGCTCGCTCAGTAGGCATCTCTCCTACCACCAGTTGGCAGGGCACTGCCCAGCCTTTGAAGAAAGTCGCTCTGCCCGAGACCCAGGGTTCCAAGGAGGGCCTAGAGGTTGGCGGTACATTCCCTCAGCATCTGCTGAGTGTCAACAGGACGCTAGGTCCATCCCGAGAGCTCCTGTGTCTGACTGTGAAGCTCCCTGGTCCCTGGGGGAGGCTAGTGGTGGTCGTCTCGCCCGCTGCGGACAAGGAGAGGGCATGTGTGGAGAGGGTAGGGACAGAGCCAGAGGCGACACCAGCAGGCCACCATCATGCAGGCTTCCCAGGGTGGGGTGGGGGTCACATCAGCTCTCCCCAGGCCACGCTTTCACAAGGGAGGTCACTTTCCTCCCTCAAAGATCCATGACATCCCCACAGCCCAGGCTTCAGGGCCTTGAGACACTCTGGGTATAGAGGCAGGTGCCCTTTAGCCAACGGAGGGAGAATATTTCTTCCCAGAGCAAAGCCAGCCTCTGCCATCTGCACCTTTTTCTCAGACTCTGAAGCCAGCCTGGACCAGTCCCTCCCAGTGCAGGCCCAAGAGAGCCGTCTGGGGCTTTTTTCTTGCTTGCCCCAGATGGGGTCATCTTGGCCTCAGTTCAGAGCCTAAGTCCAGCATCCTCAGTGAGATCTCAGGTCTTTTGCCCTCTCTGAAAGTTTTCCCAAGATGGAGACATGACCTGAACCTTCACTCTCTGAGCACTGCAGAAGACCAGCCGGGAAGGGTTTGTGGGACTTGAAAGGTAACTAACAGGACTTTGTGGACTTCGGCTTGGTGACTGGGTCTGTGACCCCTCAGCCACTTGCTCTGTGCCCGGTACCCTCTCCTACCTCCCATACCTGAAAGCCTTCAGATGTTTGAGTGCTGGAGTAACCCTCATGTCCCCGTACCCTCATGTCCTGACCCTGCTCCCCAGGTTACCCTCCTACCTCAGTCATTGTTGTTGTGGTTGAGACACCTATCCTGTGCAGATGCTCCTAGCTGGACTCTGACAGCTTCCAACAGTCACCCAAATGCCCTCAACCCAGGGGACACTGAAGAATCTGGCCCCAAGGGGGTTCTTGACCCCTGGAGGCTGATGGCAGCTGAACCAAAGGCCTGCACTCCTTACCTGTGAGCACCGCAGGGGCCAGGACCCCAGAGATGAGCAGAAGAGCCACGCGCAGGGCCAGGAAGGATGCCATCCTGGCGGAGAGTGAGTGTAGTGCGTGCTGGGCGAGAGGACTGAGCCGCTGCACTTTAGCAACGAGAAAGAGGCATCAAAGGGCTGGGAAGGGTTTTCATCAATGCAAACTCTGTCCTCCTGGGACACCGTGCCCGCCCCCCACACACACTCTCTCTCGCGCACACACACACACACACACACACACACAGCGAAAGCTCACGGAACAGACCTGGTCTTCCAAACCCAGGAGCAGCCCCACCCTTGGAGAGGGAAGGAGGAAATTGCTCTCTCCCTCTTCCCCCCCCCCCCTCTCTCTCTCTCTCTCTCTCTCTCACACACACACACACACACACACACTCTCTCTCTCTCTCTCACCCAAGTGAGGAAACAAGGATACACACCTCCCACACATATTTCTCAGCCACTGGAAGTGAGAGGTTTCCATACTTCCTGGTGCAGAAGAATCACCCAAGGACCTTACAAGCACATATGCCCCAGCCGCCATGCCAGGGGCTCGGGTGAATGTGCTTGTTCATGTTGTGGCAGGCCTGGGAGGTCCGGGGCAGGCACTCTGCTTCAGGTCGCAGAGCTGGCGAAGAGGTGTGTTCATTTAAAGCACTGTGTATCCAAGGCCCTGGCTGCCCTGGTCTCTTACAGAAAAGCGTGTGGCCTTGCTCCTGCGTTGGGGTTTTCACAGGCACTCCTCTTTGGTCCGGAGACCTGAACTCTCACCTGGACATTCATGCCATAACCCTCACTGCAGCCCCGCTGCCCACCGCCTCACCTACACTCACCCACAGTGGGGCACCTAACAAACTGCTCAGTTCCTGGCATCCAGTGTGTGGGCCTCCATGTCCTCCTCCCCTGCCCATCAATGGGCTCCTTGCTCCCCACCTCCCAGAGGGCCTCAGCACACAACTAAGTCGCCAAAGCTCTCTCTTCCCCTCACTCCCTCCACCCAAGCCCTCGAGAGACCTGCCCACACCCCTCTCTGCACTTTTCATGGCTTCCCACAAAGAGCTTCCCTGGCCCTGCCATCCTCCACCACCTCAGCTCTCTCTGTTCCTTCTGGTCCACAAGACTTGCGCGGATTCCTCCGACATACCCAACTTGATCCGGCCCAGGACTTTTGCTCTTGCTGTCCCTCTCATTATGGGCTACCTCCTTTCCATCCGAGTCTCAGTCCCAGCAGCCTCCCCATGCCTTAATTTCTTCTTGGCTCTCATATTTTTATAAAATTATCCTGTTTCTTTTTTAATTAATTTTTTTTTCACTGAAAAAGTTTTTATTGGGTGCAGCCATCTGCCCATGCTCCAGACTCAAGCACCTTCTTCCTTGGTGATCCAGCCTTTCTGAAGTGGTCCAATGAGTGCTTTCTTCTCCTCCATAGTCTGGAGGCAGCCATTGCCAAACTTGGTTGTGGTGTCATGAACCCTGGCCGACCTTCTCCAGAGCGCTGTTCAGTCTGTACCAGCAAGAACTTGTGGAAGGTGAGCACTGGCTTCTTGGACCCACCAACCTTTCAGCATGACGAAGTCACTGGTCACTTCACCATAGTGGACAAAGCCACCCAAAGGGCTGATGCTCTTGTCATTTAGACAGGTTAATCAGTGGAAGCATTATTTTTGATTAGTTTGTCATCCTTCATGAGGTAGCCATGACTAATCTTGTAGATCTTCTTGTTGATCTCAGTGTGGTGATGGTAGCCCAGGTCACAGAGAGGACCACATAGGCAGGATGCCAAGCTCCAATACAGGCAACCTTGCACAGCTCTTGGTGGGTCTTGCCGGGCAGCTTCTTGGTATGCCAGTGACTGGTGACTCCTTTGTAGCCTTTGCCCTTGGTCACACTGATGATATCCATCATGTCATCCTGCTCAAACACCTGGTTCACCGGGATCTGCTGCTCCAGCCTCTCCTGGCCCAGTTCAGTTTCTCAGCCAAGGTGCCTCCATTCACCTGGATCTCCATCAGGCGGGCTTTCTTCTGGTGCAAGGGAAGCAGCCACATCTGGGTGTAGGCGATAATCCGGATGACCTGGCAGTATTTCTTCATGCTGAAGTCCTTCTCCAATTGCTTCTTGCCCATTACATCCTGCCACTTCTTGCAGTATTTGGCAAAGGCCTTCTTCTTAGATTTATGCCAGTTCTTATAGAAGCACCTTTTGCACTCATTACTGATACGCTCAGCAAAGATAGTCTTGAAGGACTGGAGGCCTGGTAGGGTTTCCACGTAGCTCACAATGCCTATAACCACCCTGGGTGGTGTCTCCACTATGATTACAACCTCCACAACCTCCTTCTTGTTCCCCTTGGATCCTGGCTTATCAACTTCCCACTTGATATAGGTTATGCCAGCCTTGTATCCCCAAAAGGCTGTGAGATGGGTCATCTTCAGGGAAGCTCTTCATCTTCCCGTGATGCCTGCTGCTGTGCTTCCTAGCTAGAAGCCCAGGGATCCAGGTCTGGGAGTGGAGAACTACTTGTGAGACAGCACACTACCAAGTCCCGCCAGTAGAGCTCTTATTTGATTAATTTTTGAAGGCGCAACATACGTACGGGGAAGTCTACAGATCCTGTTTATAGATGAAATGTCCTATGTACACACCTGAGCAAGCTCCGTGCCAGAGAGTGCACTCCTCGTACACCAGACGGGGTCCTCCCCATTCAGTAACTCCCAAAGCTCTGGTCCGCCTGCTATCCCCTGGACAAACTGGACAAGTCCTGTGTGTGGACCGGTCACATGGTGTGAACTGCTGTCTGGCTTCTTTGGCTCAACATTACCTGCAAGACTCATCATCGCTGAACACTATTCAGTTGTACGACTGTGCCATGGTTTACCCATTCTCTTACCCCTTCATCCACATTTTGTTGGGTTGTCTCCAGATTGAAAGTTTTATGAATATGGCTTCCATGAACATTTTATCCAAGTAAAAATGTTCTACCACTTATCAGCTATTAATTCGCCAGTTCTCCATTTTGTTTCTATGTTCTCCAGAAATTCATTGGGAATTTTTTTCTTGTAGTGTCTTTTGTGGATCTGGGCCATTAGATCTCTTGGTTACATATCTGGAGTGAGAACCCCTGGGTCCCAGGGCAGGGACATCCTTGCTTCTGTGGACAGTGCTGAGTAGCTTCCCCAAGTATCCTGGCTTATATTTTCCCAGCAGGAGGGGGCTGGTTGCTCCAAGCTCAGCACCACCAGTCTTTGTCAGTAGGTAGTTACATGCTGGTGCCTCACTGTGCTTTTAATTTGCCTTTGTAGTACTCAAGGACAGCTCCCTATTTACAGGAATAGCCTCTTTTGTGAGGGGTCTGCTGTGTGTGTGTGTGTGGGGGGGAGTATTTATTAGAGTGATCCTTTACATTTTATTTCTGGGGAATTTTTGTATATTCCAAATAAAAACACTTGGTCTGACACACCTAATGATACTTTAAGGTGAAGTGTTTAATAGCATGTTTTTTGTCTGCCTCTGCCATGTGACTGTGCTTCGGGACAGTGGAGGCTGTTTTGTTTCCCAGTGCCTCCCAGGACCTAGCACTGCCTGCAGCAGGAACTTAGTACTTGACTCCAATCAGCCTGGGCTTCTGGGGTGGACATAACACCTGTCCATCTGGCCCCATTCTCATCTATCCACACCACAGCAGGACCTCATGACCCCATGACCCCAGTACTCTGCTGCCTTTCTGACTTCCTGTTAGGATCTGCCAGCGGGAGACACTGGCAGGCGATGGAAGGAAGACTCTTTCTACTCAGGTTTCTGACCTTTGGTGACAAATGTCAGGTGGCTAGCAATAAATTAATCATGGAGTACCAAGTTAGTAAGATTTTTCTAGTTTGTATTATTAGAAACCTGGAAAATGTGTGAGAATGAGTTCTGAGGTGTTAGACTAAACGGGCAGGGTGTGAATATGACCCTAGTTGGGCCACGCATGTTGACAGTTTGCTTACTGGAGATCCTTAATCCAGTGTCCTCAGGAGCTCTGACAGTTTGGCTGACTCATTAGTAGCCTAGGTGTCATGAGACAGAGAAGCCTAAGTTAAGAGGTGAGAAGCCAAAAGCGTAGGAAGAAAGGAATGCTGGGGTGCATTTCTCTTAGGAGGTGATGCCCACATTCACCAAAGTACTCTTCACAGAGGCACTGGGAGATGCATTGAGAAGGAGATCAAAATCCTCCAAGGCCAGGAGATGACTGGATCAGTGATCCTATTGCAGCAGAGGCCAAGCAGCAACACTGACCTTCCAGAAGCGAGATGGATGCAACACTGCACAGTTGGATGAGGATGTTTGACCCTCAGGAATGAAATGGGAGCCTACTAATGCACTACTACTTGATAAACAAAAATGGACACAAGCACAGAGCCTCTCCTCCAATTCACAGGCCAGGACTCTCTTGACAGAAAGGGAAGCAGCTTATCGTTTAGATGGCCACAGTGTAAATAGCAAGTCTCTTCCAAACATTCCCTGAAGGTGTTGGCAGCCAGAGGCTAAGACAGCTATGCCCTGCAGGAAGAGAATATACTCACCTTTCAGGGGTCATCAGACACAGGCTCTGTGCAGACACTCTGCCCTGGATAGTCTGAATGCCACTGTGTTCACCAAAGTGCAAGCTCATAGGTAGTTTTTCCCCCCTGAACCCATCCCAATGCATGAGAGGTAAGGAGAGGAGGTTGTCCAGGGGCAAGAGTGGGCAGCAGAGAACCCATCCTGGTCCTGATGGCAGGACCAGGCATGAGCCAGTCTCCAAGCTCCTGGTTCATGCTCCATTAGTGCATCAGACTTCACCTATTAAGCACAAACTACAAACATAAATTTAGAATTTCAAGAAGTTAAAGCATAACTCATGGTACATAGCATGTGCCAAGGACCTGGGTTCAACCCTCAATATTAAAAAAAAATTCCAGACAGTGAGTTCAGTATTCAGTATCTCAAATGATTATCATAGCCATACTAAATGGAAGTAACTCTCAGCCTAAGACAAAAATCTAAATTACAGAGTGTTACAACAAATAACCTTGTACATATGTATTTTTGTAATGTTTTTCTTTAAACAAATACAGTCATGAGGCACAACAGGGACACCCTCTGAGAAACACATTGTTAGGCAATGTTGTCATTGTGAAGACATCATAGAGCATCCTTACACAAACTAGACAGCAGTGACATCCCTAGGCAGTAATAACCTATGGGACCACTTAAGTATGAGGTCTGGCTTTGACAGAGCATCTTGTGACTGTATCACACTAGAAAGCTTGTCTCTCACAGTGGGTTAGCAACCATAAAACTACTTGGTGGGTATTCTAGGACTGAGCAAATGTGGAAACAGAGCTGACTCCTGCACAACACGGGAGATCAGGGGCACCAACCCTTTTGACATTCCTAAAACTTAACACTAGAGTTGACTGGGAGCCTAACTGATAATATAAAGTTGTTTAACATATTTTACTTTTTTGTTTTTTGGTACAAGGGATTGAATCCAGGGGTGCTTAACCCACTGAATCCCAGCCCCAGCCCTTTTTTACATTTTATTTAGAGACAGGGTCTCACTGAGGGTTAACACATTTTACGTTACATGTATTACACACAGTAAAAAAATATGCAAGAACTGTGAGGTGTTTTTACTGGATATGGACTTTACTGGAGAGACCAATTTCTCACATGGAGGTGACCAGAGCTGCACAGTTGTTTTTATTTTGGTACCAAGAATTGCTTAACCACTGAATCACATCCCCAGCCCTTTTTATTTTTTGAGACAGGGTCCCACTGAGTTGCTTAGGGCCTCACTAAGTTGCTAAGGATGGCTTTGAACTTGCTTGCTGCACAGCATTTTAAGCAGACACTTGCAACAAAATTCACCCCCATAGCTATACACAGTGGCTACGGAAGTATTACTGTAGTATAATACGTACTAGTTAATTTTATACTGTAATGGTTTAACAGTGTGTTCAATTTGTTTACATTTTCCTTGACACCCTGAATGTAAGTGCTCAAGTTTTGATAAATTTTCAACTTTTTACAATAGATGTATATGTTTATGGTAGTAAATAATTTTAAAATAAAGTATTATCTACATATATTTTATGCATTCGTGATATGCCTTTTAATTTTTCTATGCTACAGCTTGCATATTTTTTCAAATTGTCACAAATCTCCCAAAGATGAATCCATGTATACGATGGCCCACACAGTTCAAAACTATGTCATCCCTGAGTCAACTGTACCCTGAAGATAATAAGAGCCAGGTTTCTCACTGTTGGGAAAGAAAATATAAATGAGTGAAGGTCAGAACGTATCCTGTGGTGTTGCACTGAAATTGAAATTGGAGGTATCAACAACTCATGGTAGGTATAGATGTTATAGAGATATATGCACATATATGGACAAATCTGAACTTACACATAAAAAACTCCCTGTTTGCAGGGATATTCCTGAATCAGTGACACCCCAGTAGCCGTGAGCATGCCCAGTGCCCAGATTTTAGTTTTTGGATACTCTCCTTACTGAAAAGAACCAGAGCTCCCTGGAGAAATAGCTAAGTCCATATCTGGGAAAAGGAGATGATGAGCCTAAATATCTTATGTCAAAATACAAAACAAAACAAAACAGAATGATGGAGATGTGGTAAGAAGACACAGAAGCAGTTCCATTTGTGCATGAAAAACGGTATCAGATTATAAGAGTGTATACATGTTTGTATGAAAAACTCTTCCTTATAGCACAATGTTAACTAATAAGTGCAAAAGAAATGTTGGCAAGCTGGGTAAAGGGGCACATGCCTATAATTCCAGCGCATCAGGAGGCTGAGGCAAGAGAATTTAAGTTCAACACTAGTCTCAGCAATTTAGCGAGACTCTCTTAAAAACAATAACAACAACAACAACAAAAGCCTGGGGATGTGGCTCAGTGGTTGAACTCCACTGGGTTCAATCCTTGGTACCAAAAAGAAAAAAAAAGTGTTGGCAGCATCTGAGTAATAACTGGTCAAGCAAAAAGTATCAATAGATGATGGGAAACTAGTGGATACATTATATATATATGTGTATTTTTAGTTGTAGATGGACATCATACCTTTTATTTTTAATGTGGTGCTGAGGATCAAACCCAGCCCCTCACAGGGTAGGGAAGTGATCTACCACTCAGCCATAACCCCAGCCCTAGTAGACACATTTTGATGAAGAGATGGACATTCACATAGTCTCAGTGTTTACCACAAAGAGAAAGATTGTTACTTTACAAAATTACTATCACCAACCTCATGTACCTCCTATGATGCATTCACTTGTGGTATTCCTCCAGAATCAACTTGAGAGGAAGTACCAAACAAATCCGATTTGAGGGTGTTCTAACAAATAATTGTCCTGTACTCTTCACAAACGTCAAGGTATGAAAGATAGAGAGACTGAGATACTGCTCCAGATTAAAAGTAAAGACTCTCAAGAAAAATGACAGTTCAGTATGAAAACTGATTGTAAGCTTTTCCTTATCTGACACTAGTGGAACAACTGGTGAAATCTGAATGCAGCCTGGCATTAACAGCATTGCATCACTAATTTCCTCGTTTTGATAACCGTATTGTGGTTATGTAACAGAATGGCCTTGTTTTGAGGAAATATACCCCCGAGTGTAGGGATAAGAAACAGAAGGTATAAAACTTACTTTAAAACTAGTTCATTTAAAACATCGGAGGTTGCTATGGTGCTGCACACCTGTAAACCCAGCAGTCGAGCGCTCATGGCGCCTGGGATGAGCAGTGAGTGCTCAAGTCCCCTCCCCCAGCCTCAGGACCAGCTAGAAATGGAACTTCAGCAGTCATCTTGAGTTTTATTCCTTCTTACATGTACACATGTCCAGCTATATATATGAACCAACAAATTTTCTCCTTTCCTCTTTGTTTTATATATTACACAATCCAGTCTCTGGGATACCAAATGCCCAAGCGGGGCTGAAAGTGAACTAGAAGTGGGCATCGCCTAGACAGGGGTGTAGTGATTGGTGTGCGTGACCAGCAGGCACGGCTTTAGTTCCCCAGTAATTCATCTTTTAGTAACTGCCTTCTCCCACTTTGCTCCCAACCCATTCAACACCAGTTTTTCTTTTTAAACATTTCTTTTGATTACCTAGGATGGTGTGTTCCATGTTGGGACCTTGACCTGCTTCAGGCCCCATTTGATGTGACTATTGTCAGAAAATCCAGGTGGGGGACTCTAACCCCGCACAAGCCCACAATGCTTGCATTTCAACATGTCTCCTGCAGTGAAACTGCAAAGGGTTGACTACTAGCCACAAACTATCAAAAAAACATGTGTTGGCAGCCCCCAGACTCACGCTCACTTACTAGCAAGTTGGAGCTGACGGGAACCTCCCAGACCAGACAGTGTGATCCACCTCAGGCTATAGAATCACTTGGGTGTTGATAGGTAATTTCCAGTGTGGTGCTCAACTCTGGGACACAGAGTTCAGGGATTGACTTCTGTTTCAATTTCCTCAAATGCCCTGGGTCAACCCCTTCATTCCACAGACAGGCAAGGAAACCAGCAGCCAGAACAGTACATATGGAGGACTGCTGTGCAGTCTTGTGGGATTCATGCCACAATGCCTCCATAAGAGTGACACTTCTTCATGCTAAGTTGAAGCCATCCAAGGAGGTAGTAACTCCTGTTTAACATGCTCAACCACACCCATGTATGGGCAAAATGGCCTACAAGTGGTGTTTATCAAGCATTTAGGTGCTGAGAACTGTACTATATTATACTCATAAGTTACTGATCACAACTCCCTGATAGTTCTCATTTCACAGACATGGAAACAAATATTAAAGAAAGCTGCCCGAAAGTAGGTGATGGGACCAACATTCAAATCTGACCTTGGATTGCAAGGCCCCCATTCCCAAACCACTCCCAGGTTAACGCTACAGAGTACTTATCCACCAAATTCCAGATTCTACGTAGAATTGGAAACTACACAACCCAGCTATTACTTGGAATATGCTCTGACTCCCTGGCTCTGCACAAAACAGAAACCAGAGCTGATTCTGAATCCTTCTGCCAGAAAGGCTAAAGTCCTCAGTCCACAGGCTGACTTGGGGTAGCACCTGGATTCTTTTCCTTGATCAACATACATAAACTCACTACTCCATGTTTCCCGTTTTAAAATAGAGAATGGAAGAGATGACTGTGGTAGAGACTGCCAACTACCAACACATCTATTCTTCTCCAATTCTTAGTGACAGAATCCTATGGTGTGTTGGACAGCTAAGCACTCAACCAAACTCCCCAATTTCCAGTCTTTTTTGCAACTAATTATAGTTATGTATTTACATTCTGACTGGTTTAAGACTTCCAACATTGAGAAGAGCTCCCAAACAAGCTCCTTTAAAGATGCTAAGCAGACAAAAGCAATGCTAAGCATCAAAAAGCAATCTCCTTCTTCCTGCCTGGAATATAGTCATGAATGTTGGTGCTCTAGCAGTCACCTTACACCATGAGTGACTTAATAAGATGGTGAAACAGAAAGAACTCGGGTCCCTGAACCATCATATGAGCCTTGGACCAACGACCTCTGATTCCACTTGAGAAATAAACCAACTCAAGTCACTGCAACCTGATGTCTTCTGTTATACACAACCAAGCCAATATTGGCCCACTGAACATTTTCAGGACCACTTATGGTGCTCATATAGAGCATAAAGCATCTGCTGACCATTGACCACTCCTGCATTGGGAGGAAAAACAAAGGGAAAAAAATTTCCTTAAGAAACCTGTCTCGGGCTGGGGTTGTGGATCAGCGGTAGAAACGCTCGCCTAGCACATGCGAGGCCCTGGGTTCAATCCTCAGCACCACATAAAAATAAAGAAAATAAAGGTACTGGGTCCAACTACAACTAAAAAGTTAATATTTTTAAAAAAAGAAAAAAAAAATCATGTTTCTGCTTCCTAAGTTCAGCTGCATTGAGTCAAGTGTCAAAGCCATTATTAATTCTGTTCCCATGCCGTCACCACTTTATAGCAATGGTGAGGGAGGAGACTACGACAGCTTACTGGCCAGAGCAGTACTGAGGAGGAGCTCCCCTCTCTTCCTTCCCAGCACCCATGCACTGTTTTTCCCACTGAGTGAAGCATAGCTATGGTTGATACTTCAGTTGTAAAACACTCCCACTTCTGGCTGAAATTTTCCTCTTGGAGGCTTTGGGCTCCCAGTCCAGAACTAGCAAAAGCAGAAGCCGTACAAGGCCATCATTCTCAGGGAATCTAACATCTGTAAAATGAGCATTGCATATCTGGCTACTCCAGGGTTCCCAGATACCCTAAGGTCCCAGCAAGCACCACAGCTTCCTCTCCAGGAACAGCCTAAACTCAAGCAGGACCAAAGGCATCTTGAGATGGGCCTTGTTGTCAGTCTAATTACCCAGGTGGGATGTGCTCTGTTGTACCTGGTTTAACTTGCAGGTCAGCCGCTCTTCTGCCAAAGCTCTATCTCACACCCTGGAAGTACCATGTAGAAATGTTTTTTTCCAAAGATCACTTCTGTTTCATTGATCACATTATTATCTTTATTAAAATGCAGACAGAGGCATTTTGTATAAAGTGGCCAATTCTGTCACCAGGCCAATTTTAAAATAGGGTGTAATATACATCCTATATATAAAATAGAGCATGTATGTGCATATATATATATATATGTAAATAAAATGGATGCCCTAAAGATTATTTAAATTGAGACCAGAATTATCAGATCAATCCTGAAATAAACAAAACCAAACCACTTTGACTTAAATCAATGAAATAAAGTGCTTGATGCAGATGGCTGAGCTCATTTTACTCAATCACCTTCCTTGAAGGGCTGCAATAATCTCTCCCACCCCCACCACTTCCACCAAGGATGATATAAGAGGGCTGTGGCTCCACCCTCCCACCCTGAGAATCTGAATACAGCATCACAGCAGCAATTATGTTGCTCCAGAGCATAGGTTAGAAAAAGGTATTGTACTACTGCTTCCACCTGGTTCTTTGGGGGATGTCCACAAGTTGGTGCCACCTAAAGAAGACAGACAGACTTCCAGACCCACAAGTGGACTGCCTTGGAGAGCCCACCTCATTAATCAAGCCTTTTTTATAAAAACAGTCCCAGCTGACATCTGACCACAACCACAGGAGACCCTGCAAGGAACCACCCAGACGAGTCCTTCCCTAATTCCTCACCACAAAATCACCAACAAAATGAGGTTGTTGTCAGCCAATTTGGAGGCCATTTGCTATGCAGCAATGGTGACTAGAACACCAACTATCTTTGAGGTAAGTCTCTATAATCAAACGAGACATTTTTTTAAATCTCAAGAGTTAAAAAAAAAAAAAAAGATAGTGTACAAACAAACGCAGCTGGTTCTCAGTATCTGCAGGTTCTGTACCCTTGGAGCCAGCCACCCTTGACTGGAAATGTAGAGACTGTCTCTGTACTGAGTACATGCAGACCTTTTTCAGATCATTAGTCTCTAAACCACATATGATGTAACAATTTACAGTGCATTTATTCTGTGTTAGGCCTTACCAGCAATCTAGAGAGAATACAAAGTAACCATGAGGATGTGCATACTTTAGGAACGCAAGGTTCTGTCTGTAGAGTCCTGGAACCCATCAATCCCCTGAGGATACCAAGGGACAATTTTACTTTAAAATTTGGGAAGGGACTAGGGGTGTAGTGTAGTGGCAGAGTGCATGCCTAGCACACACTAGGTCCTGGGTTCCATCCCCAGAAAACCTCCCTCTCTTAGCAAAAACAATAACAAACAACAACAACAAAAGCTGAAGAGTGAAGGGAAAACCCCTGAAGAGTGGTGGCTGCAAGCAAAGGAGAATATGAAGGGTAGAGCTGAGACAGAAACATGCTTGAGAAGATTGGTTTCTTTCCACTGAGTAGGAAAGTCCTCAGACAGAAGCAAATCTCCTGATTAGGCAAATGGAATGTTCCATGACTAAAATTGACTTTTGTTCTGCTCATCTGCCCGCTCCACTTCCAATTTTTTAAAAGCTTATTTTTATTTTTCCTAAATAAGTAGCAGAATCTGCTTTAGAAAATGTGGCCGACTTTGAGGCACATTCAGAGGGTGTGTGTCTGTGGTTTCAGGGCGGAGCAGATCCGCAGGGAGGCAGAAAGGGAGAGTCAGAGGAGGAAAGCCACTGATCAAACTCTCCCATGTTTACCTTGACCTCTACCTTCTCCAGTACAGACCCAGCCAGTGCTCCATAGCCTGGCAGGGAGAACCACCTCCAAGTCTTGGGAGGTCACTGTGGCCTGGAGCTGTTCCATGCTGCCAAGGGGAATGATCTAGTGCAAAACTCAGCCTCCACAAGGAGGGGCACGAGAGGTGCACTCAGAGAGAACCAACCACGTTTTATTTAAGTTCTTTTTTATTTTCCTCCACACTGGCAAAAGTTCCGAGGGAGCTTAAAGTTTTGTAAACATTTTAACTATCCCTCTTCCCCACCCCCCACTTTTGAATTTACAAAGCAAAGGAGAGTAGGAGTTCCAATTTTAACGGATCCCCATCTCCTCATGCTATTTGATCCAAAAACTATATACAAGTTTGTAGCAGTCTCTGTATAGTTATTGTACATGTTTAGGAGGGAGGGAGGCAAGAGAGGATAGGGAGAATGGTAATCCAAAATAATAAAAATAGAAACCAAATATAATCCTCCAAAACCAAACTGCTCTCAGAGCAACTCCAGCTTTCTCCAGGCGCAGATGACAGAAAGGAAAGGTGCTCCACCTGGCAGCCGCCCCACCACAGCACCTCTCACACAGGCACAGCCGGCACATGGCTCCCTCCAAGGTGCGACTGGCCATTCTGGGTGATGTTCTGTGGGGTGTGGTGGCAGCAGGAAGAGGGCTTGTTTATAAACAGCGCTGAGTACAGTTCTATTTGAAGTGACAGGGTGCGAGGAGGCCAGCACCAGAAGCCAGAGCAGGCTTCTCCACCCCATTCTCGCCCACCCCTCCATCCCACTGCTTCCTCCTGTGTAGTGGTTTCCATGGATGAAGGTCTTACAGATGGTCAGGTTTTGTATGTTCTCTTTGCAGAAAAGGCAAGCAACTTGCCATCCCAGAATCTTTAAACAAAACCTGTTCAGGGCCACAGCAAGACACACACGCAATGCTCTGAGGAACCAGATGAAATTCCGGGCTTTTATCGGAAGCAAAAGTTTATCCCTACCCAAAATGAAATTATACAAATTCATACATATGGTATAGATCCTAGCTGCCTCTTAAACGAGACAAATTTTCAGCAGAAGGGCCCAAAACAAACTGGTCCTAGTCCTCTGAAGTAAAAATATTTATGGGGGGAAAAAATCAGTTTTTTTTTTTTTTTTTGTTTTTTTTTTAAGAAAGAAAAATTAAGAATGAGTCCCTCTCCCAGGCCACAGGGTTTCCTTTGTCCAATCAGGGTGGAGTATGCCAGGGGAGAAGTCACTATCTAATGAAGAAAAACACGAATCCTTTCTCCGAAAGGATGTTCAGAAAGAACAGGCAAGGGGTGTGCAACATCAAACCAATCAACCCAAACTCCACCCACTCGGGGCCTCTGTGATGCAATCCGAAGTTAGCAGTGGCAATGCAACCTCCAGACTGGGAGAGCTCTGGCTGTCTCTGCAGACACTTGAGTCACAGTTCATGGGGTGTTTTGTTGCTGGCCAATGTCTGTTAACCATTAACTCTCTTCATGATTGCACCAGTTAGACCTTTTGCCCTTATGGGGAGAAAGAAGAAAAAACAAAACAGAAGGGAAAAAGTGACAAGAGAAGTAAGCTGCCCTTGGCAGATCCCAACATACTATACTCTCTGGGAGGCAGTAGATGAAATCACGGCACAGTGAAAATGTGCTGCCAAGATCAGCCTTGCTGGGGAGCAATCCCACCTGTCAACCCCGACACAGGGTCTGGTCCACTTGTATACAGTCTGAGATGCTCACCAACAAAAACGGTTTAAGGAATCTTGGACACAAGGGGCTAGAAGAAAAAGCCTGAGATGATCGGTTCTGTGATTTGTTGCAGAGTGATATAGAGTAAATGATGAGTACGTGTTGTGTCCAAAAGTGGAGAATCCATGGTCGGCAGAGAGGAGAGGGAAGTGAGTGCCTGGCAGGTGCTCAGTAGTCATCCAGAGTCTCAATTTCACCCATGTTGAGTCGTTCTGATGATGCATTGACTGAAAATCCTGAGGAAAAAATATTGGCTATGAGTGACCACACCTAGACAACCAAGTGGCTCAAACTCTACGCAATGGGCTGGAATACAGGTTTGTTTCTGAACATACTACCTACATGGGTAGTAAAGGGAAACATAAGTAGACTTACAAAGGAAAGGATTTCAGTTAACCACATCTGATAAACCTAAATGAAATCTGACTTAGGAAAAAAGCAGCACTCATATGCACGCAGGCTATAAGCAGTGCTCATCAACACCACTGACTTGAAAATCTAATACCAGAAGTTGCATGTAATTTTTACAAAATCTACAGCCAAAGGTTGATAAAGATGATCATGAACAGGGCTTCTTTGGAGTCAGCAAGTCCCAGCAAGCTTTCCAGTCCCCTGCCCTGCATAAATCCCATAAATGTCTCATTTGCTGTTTGAAAACCAAAAGCGATGCCCTCCATTCCAAAAGAAAAACCTGCCCCAGAATCAAAGTAACAGCTCATTTCATAAACTGTTTGGTCTATGTTCTGTTTGGCAGGTGTGTGCTGGTATTAGGTAGGTTTTTCACGTCCTCTTTTTTTGTTCTTCAATGTTCACACATTTGAAATGTTCCAATAACAAACAAAAATACCTTACATAATAAAACAGCTTAGTTAACTGACTAAATTATCATTTGAAAATATAAGCTTGCCTGCCTACTAACCAAGGAAGCTATGGTCCCAAGCTGCTGACAAGGCTTGACACAGGGAGAGGCTAGAACTCCAAACCTACCCTGAAAGTCCCCATCTACTGTGGACCTGTGTGTGACCTGCAAGATCTTCTTTCCCTTGAAAGTAGTCAAAGGTCAGTGTTCACATTTTTACAAGAACGTAAAGACCAAACAATGTTCAACATGAGCTGTTATTCTACGATTTTGAGGCAGACTCTTCTTCAATTTCACATTTATCTCAAGAATACATGAAATGTGATAGAAGACAATAATACGTTACATCAATACAGGAGAAATGTAATTATAAAAAATAAACCAAATTTATTTTAATTACACAGACAGGAAGGGAAAAGTCTATTGCAAAATATAAAAAGCTGATTATCTGATGCTATGTGTTGATTACTAAGCTAGGATTAGCAGACATGATCTTGTTTAATTGTCAAAAACCAAAACAATAAAAAATACAATGGGTAAGGTGTGCTCACCCTCCACATGACAGAAGGAAAAGCTCAGGGGACACCAGAGGCAAGGCAACACAAATGAGGCTTACCTCAACAGACCTGGCTCTACACACTACATCCTTGTTAGGTTCAGCTCAGACTCACTCATATGATTTCTTTAAGGCCTGTGAGGCTATTCTCATAGGAAAGCCCGATGTGTGTATTAAAATCCAAGTGCAGGCTGCTGAGAACTCTAAGAACTAGTGTGTGGCTGGAGTATAACAGAGGACACAGAGGATTAAAACAAGGTGGGGCTCCCTCTGCTGGCTGCTCCTTCAATGGGTACTTACAGATCAAATTAGAACCCTTTTCCCCATTTTGTGTGTGAGAAAGTTGTGAAGAGTAGTTACTATGTTTTCTCAAAAAGTAAATCTATAAGGAATATATAAATTAAAAAGTAACAAATGGAAATGAGAGGCATGGGGCAGAGATTAGCAATTATCAGAGGAATTTCCAAAAGGAGCTTAGCTGAACAGTGAATTTTATGGAATCGTCTACGTGAAAGGTCATCCAAGTGAGTTTTCTCAAAACTGTTCAACTTGGGCTTGCCTTGCATGTGTGGGGCACTGGGTTTGATCCTCAGAACCACATAAATAAAATAAAGGTATTGTGTCCATCTGCAAGTAAAAAAGAATTAAACAAAAAACTGTTCAAATCTTATTTATCATTTGTCTGCTTTTCTTTCCCTTTGAGATTTACAAAGTTCTTAAACTTCACTCTAGGGGACCTATCCATCTCCCACTCACTTGTAGGTGAATATTTAACTCTTCCTTTCCCAAGTCTGCAGCAGAGGATGGAATACAATGGAATACTTAATCCAAAGAGCCAGACCTCACTTGCAGAGGGACCTTTTGATCTCTGACAGCTTCTCTCAAGTCCCAAAACTAAATTGCAAGGTCCTTAGAACCCACAGTTAGAAACCTGTCCAAACTAAATCAAATATTGCAACATCTTTACCATTAACTTTCAAGAAAGATAGGCAGAAGAAAACAGTTTCACCAGATCTCAATGTTCTCAAACTCAGCTTTGAGTCACTAATCCCAAAAGGCAATCCTCAAGTCAGGAGTCTGTCACTGGCATGTTGTTTCCCTCAAGGCAGGCATCCTCTTGAGGCAAGTGAGGATCTTCCCCAGGGCAGAGGAAGATCACACCTACCTCTTTGCCAGATACAGGCATTTCCCACTAAGCCCCTAATACTTCACCCTTCTCATGTGCCTGCTCCGTTCCCAGTGCTCAACACATTTCAACATCTCCACTACCAAGACCCTACTCCAGGTCACCATTATCTTTAACAATCTATGCTGCAGCCTGTTAACTAGTTGGTCTTTGGACCGGGCCAACATTGCAGGCTGCCATCTCTGCCAACAGACTTGCTCCATCACAGACAACATGGCTTTCTAACAGCCTATTTTACACTGACAAATAAATAATGAAAAGAAAATAATTTTAGTTTCATAGTTGTTTGGCTAATTTACAAAACATAGGCAACTTAGAATGACTGCTTTTCCTGAAACATCATTCTCATCTTTCCTGCTGGTCTTCCAAAGTCCAAATTCAGAAGTCATCTTTTTCAGGAAGTTGCCTCAAATGAGGACAGCCACACCAGTCCTTAATGTTGGACAAGAATAGGTGCATGTAACAAAGAAAATTAGAAAGCAAACAGGCCTGCACTGCAACCACAGCACCACCACTGAGAGCTGTGACACTGGGAAATGTCCTAAATTTTCTGGGCCTTGGTCTGCCTAGTAGAACTGAGATATTATCTTACAATGAAGAGTCATTCTGAGAGTTTTAAGATACAGGTAAGAAATATTTGTTCTTTGAACACCTGATCAGACTTATGGTCTGCTTCCAACAAAATAAACATAAATCAGAATTAAAGTTTCTAATTATTTTTGCTGTTTTCCATTATTATTTTCCAACTAACCTGAAAGGCCCTCCAGTAAAATCCTTATACCAAACATGCTTTGAAGTTAAAAGTACCATTTAATTTTCTTACTCCAACACAGCACATGTGTCACAGCTCCTTATACTAAATACTGGCTACCTATTTTGAATTAGTTAAAAAATTAATCTTGCTGGGCACAGTGGCACACGCCTATAATCCCAGTGACTTTGGAGGCTCCAGCAGGAGATCACAAGTTCAAGGCCAGCCTCAGCAACCTAGACAGACTATCTCTAAATAATATAAAATAAGAGCTGGGGTTATAGCTCAGTGGTTCAGCACTCCTGAGTGTAATCCCCAGTACCCCCACCAAATATATATATATATATATATATATATATATATATATATATAAATAAAAATCTTTACCAAAAAACAACACAAAGACTCCCACTTGATCACTGTTATCGTCTAGACTCCTCACAGCTCAGCTAGGACTCTGGGCCTGTGCTCACCTAATAAACTGGGATCTGCTCGGACCATCTTCTGTTTTTTCTTCTTCTTGCCACTTTGCACAGCCTCAAAATTGGATTGTTGATTGTTGCTTTGATTGGTCTGAAATACTGAATGGAGTGTACTGTGGTTCATCCCCCACACAGAGTCCTGTGAAATGAGACAGCATAACTGAGATTACACAGTAGATGTAGAAGTGGCTGCCCTAACAGAAAGCTGGTATGCCTTTACCTTATCATGTGTGAGTTTTAAAACAAAAGGCATATCAAGGTTCTGGCACTACTGAGACTAAGACCAGGCCACTGAGCCAACAGTTCCCTCATTTGCATTCTGATACTCCACAAAGTGTTTCCTGCAAACACCAGGTTTTCCCCCTGCTGTGCTAGCATGGCTGTCACAAGTTCTCTAGCATACATGGTCTGTACCATCCATAGGAAATCAAATACACAACAGGAATGCACTGTGGCAACGTATACCCTTCACCTACCCAAAGCAGATTTTCCCAGATCAGAGGACAGGCCAAAAACCAAATGGCAGCACATTACCAAAAAAGGTTAAAAGTCTTGTACATCAATCCTATCAGCAATCCCTGGAGGGATCTGGCTCCATATACTTCTTATCAACTGGTTAGACTATGATAATCTATTAGCCCTTTGCACTTGTTGGGCTTCCACATTATGGTCTAAACCCTGGTAGTCACTTTACAGACTCAGGTATCTTCTGCACTGCAACCTGATGCCTTCTCTCCAGAAGCTATAAAATACCTTTTCTAGGGTTGATCCAGGACTGACAACTTACACTTCTTCATTCACCCACTATCTACCTATGCAGCTTGAACTCTAAATGCCTTGCCTATCACTGTATCTTCCACACTTCCAGATGTGACCTATAACAAATATCTATCATCTTTAGTAAAACAACTATGGGGATTTAAAGATATTAATATTTTTAAGCCTCTCTGTGAGCCTTACAAACTTGTCTTTCAGAAAATGTACAATTGATCCTCAAAGATTTCATATTTATGAATCCACTCGCTTGCTAAAATTTGTTTGTAATTTTAAAATCAATACTTGAAGTATTATGGTTACTCAGGACAAGCACATGTGCAGAGCACATTTGGGTCCCTCAATGCAAGCATTCCCAGTTGAAGTGAGACAGGGAAACATCTGCTTTCCTCATTTCCTATAAGTAGGTATCTTTATTTAATACTATGTTATTCACAATTTTTGCACTTTTTGTTAGCAATTTCATTGTTTAAAATGTCCCAAGTATAATGCTTAAGTGGTATTTAGTGTTCCTGGCTATGCTACACCTTCTTGGGAAAACATGTGCTAGATAACCTTTGCTACAGGAATGACTTACAGTGTTACTGGCAGAGAACTTAACCCTGTATATTCTTCAAGAGCAATGATTCAGTATTCATGGGAACTTTATGCAACAAAACTACTGTGAGGAAGGATTCTTCGTGCCATTTACAACCCCATCAACAACATAGGTCATACCTGGCATGTCACAGTGTTGCCAATTCTGGGCACAGGGCTCATATAAAGTTAAAAAAAAAAAAAAAAAAACACACAAATTTATGGGTCTGTGACATGTTGAAATTTGCAGGTTAAGACACATATAAGAATCAAGAAAAAAAAAATGGGGCTGGGATGCCTAGTACAGAATAATGGCTGTATTTGCAAGCAGGGAAATTTGCAAAGGTTTCTAGACATGTAATTTGAAAACACGAAATCTACATACTTTAAAATTACTAGATGTACAAAAACGGAATCTTTGTCTTTATTTTCATTTCTCTGTTTACTCAACATTCAAAGGCTTCAATACTTGATACACTAGATGTTATACCTGTGGTGGTGGCTGCTGCTGCTGTTGCTGCTGCTGTTGCTGCTGCTGCTGCTGCTGCTGTTGCTGCTGCTGCTGCTGCTGTTGTTGCTGACGCTGCTGGTTGACTTTTTGTTTGGCACGGCGCTCAAGGAACTGCTTGGCAAACTCCTTGGCCTCAGAAGTATCTCCTAAGTAGGCCCTAATATAATCATGGACCTCATAGGGAGATTCTACTTCTTTCAGGAAAGAAACAAATGTGGGAACTGCAATATGGGAAGGGAGAAGAGAATAACAATGAAATAATTATATATCACATAGGAAAAAACAGTTTCAGATTTTAATATATCACCACATCTAAAACAGATGTTAAAGACAGAAACTTTAAAGGTGTGCAGCTATTGGGTTAAATATTCTTTAACCTTTAAATTTGTTTTTTGAAATGAAAAACACACTATCATCACTATTACAAAAATTATATGAAATAGCACAGCCTCAAAGACATGTTGTATGTACTCATTTTCACTAAGTGCTATGGTTGCGACAGTTACTTGTCCAGTACTCAAGTATTTGGGGATTTTTTCAATCAATATTATTAAAAGCTAAGATGTGTGCCAGGCACTACAACAAATACTAAAGATAACCTATATTCTCCTGGAAATTAGATATGTTTAGAGAGAAAACAAATAGAAACTGCAAATAGTATGGTACTGGAGAAAAAGCACAAGTACCAGTGTTAAACAGGTATGAGTTTAAAACCTGACTCTGAAATCTGCTGGCTGTGTGACCTTGATGAGTTAATTAACCATTCTGAGCCTCTGTTTCCTAATTTATAAAATGGGGATAATACCACCTACCTTGTAGAGGTATCTTTAAAAATTACAACAAAAATTGAAAGACTGAGAAAACATTTTATCTGTAGATAGTGCCTAGCACATGGTAGGTGCTTAATGGATGGTAGCCATTATTATTTAAGACTGTTTTCTCTGTGGACTTCCAGACAATCAGATATTGCTATAATGTTGCAGAGGAACCCTTCAATTTCTTCACTGCTATCTTGGCTTCAGATCAGCTATCAGAGTGGACTAGTTAGTTTAACTTGTTCTATCATTATGGGAATCCCTCCTTCCACACACTCATCCATCTACTTTCAACATTTAGGGTGAGAGGAGGACTTAAACCCATCTAAGACAGAGTTCTCTAAACAGCTGACTATCAACAAATTTTTCTTCAATGGTGCTGAAAACTTTTCACTTCCGTACATAGTTGTACACCACACAAAATAAGTCTCCTTGCTCTATCACCATCCCCACCCCCTCCCCAAAGGTTGGAAGGGAATGATGTCACATCACCTCACTCCTGTTGCCCAGGCTGACCTTGGTCACCACGTGAGTTACCTTCTCTTGGATTGATACAGCTGGCAAATTTCCTCTTGAAATGATTATGACCTCTGTCTTGTACATCAATAAGAGAGCCCTGGATGGCAGCTATTTTTTGATAATCACCCATAACCTATCTGAGCTTAGTATTTCGGGACTCTTTGGATAAGCAATAAATGATAACTATCAAAGAGTTAATATTTTATGGTAGGTAAAAACTGACTTCCTCAGATTTCATCTCCTAAATTCTGGCCCACTGTTCCAATCTGCCAACCTGTTTGTGGGTCCTGCTCTGTCATTCCACATGCTGGGATTCCCTCCCCAATTCTTACCATCCAAGTTATTTGCCGTATTAAGGGCATGAAGCATCTGTTCACACCACTGGGTAAATCCATCTTGGGCTTTATTTACTCCCTGAAAGAGCTTCAGCAACTTTTCTTCTTCTTCTACTTTCTTATTCTGCCGGTTAGACACACCTACAGATTTACTAAAGCAAAACAATAGGGCGATATTATATTCCCAGAAACTGTTACTTTATGATTATACTACAATTATCATAAATAATGTCTTGGCAATATGGGATGGCTGTCCAGTAATCCAATTCTTGGCTTCAAAAACTATTTGGATTGGATACCCTCTTAAAATACAGCCTCAGCTAATGTATCCTAGTTTTTAAATACAAGGCTTCTATTTAGAAAAAATGATAAAATTCTTCCTGTGTGTCCTTAAGTAAGTTATTTAATTTTACTAAGCCTCAGTTTCCTCATCTGTAAAATGGTGCTATAGCACAGTGCCTGGCAAAGATGCTCAGTAAACTAACATATACTTATTGTCCTTTCAATAACACAGTCGGCCCTCAGTCAAAAGCAATCTGACAACACTACCATTATTAAGTAGTTACTATGTGCCAGGCACTTTACTAACTACTTTGCATGTATTCATTAGATCTTTACAACTATACACATAAAGTTGTTTTTATTATCTTCATTTTACTGATGAGGGAACTGAGGCCCAAAGAGGTTCCCTCTTGCCCAAGGTCACACAGCTAATAAGTGGTAGTGCTGGGATTTGAGTTCATGTAAACACTAAACAATACTGTCTACTGAGGAAAGAAAAATGAAAAGGAAATGTAACTCATTTCCCTTAAAAATAAACAGGTTTAAGGTCACTGCAGAGGTATCTGTAATACTCATTTACAGTCTCAATAACTTAAATATATAAATTTAGAAAAAATGCTAAGATGTCAAAACTGCTAAGAATACCTTGGATAAATGTTCAAAAATGAAAAAATATCATACTATTCCTAATATTTATGAAGTGGTTACCTCTGACAGACAATGGATTAAGTGCTTAGCAGTAGAATGAGCTTCAAAAAATAAATGTGCTTTTATGAAGAAGAAAGCAATCAGCATAATTATGGCTCATTATAATTACAACTCATATTATGAATATATATGATACAGTATATGAATTATAATTCATGTGCTTTGAAATAAAAACTTTTAAACTAACTACTTTTCCCTGTCTCCCAAATACCCCATATTTCCACTGCCTTCACCTCCCAAGGTGCATAGATGTCATCATTTTGAGCCCTACCTGAGACTGGCGTTGTTTTTATTTTTATTTGTTGAATTCCTAGGTCCCACCTCTTTCACTGCATCATCCCAGAATCCCATGTTGGAGTTTTTAGTGTCAGCATTACTCCAGATACTACTGACTAGGTCAGATGCCCACTGGTTAGGAGGACCAGTATTTATAGAGCCCCAAACAGAATTCCCAATGCTGGTGTGCAGGTTGGAATGCTATTAAAGAAAGAAAGAAAAAGAATTATGATTAATAATATTTAAAAGATAGTCCATGAGAGTCAGAAAAGATAAACTATCACCAGTCCCTGTAAGAACAGTTTAGGAAAATGAACCCACTGTGTTATTCCGGGCTCTGTTTGGTTGCTGGTGCTGCTGTTGCTGTTGTTGCTGCTGCTGCTGCTTCTGCATCTGCCTGGCCTCTTCCTGCTGGATCTCCAGAAGAGACTTCGTGGTGCCTGCGGGTTTGCTGACATTCCCCCAACCCGAGAGTTTCTGCTGCTGCTGCTGTTGCTGCTGCTGGAGAGCTTTCATCAATTCCCTCTGCTGGCGCCTTTGCTATTGCATAAGAACAGAAGCTGGCTCAGGATTCTTGTTCTCAGCTAAGTTACAAACACCCAGCACATGAAACAAAATGGTAATATACAGTGGCTAAAGAACACCAACTTGAAGGGGTTAATTCTTTTGCTGCAAATGAAGGCATAAACTGCTAGAGGTACTTAGAGGAGAAGAAAAGGATCAAAAGCAAATTATTTCTTAAAAATTAGGTAGGCATTTTGATTAAGCATAGAAATGAAATACATGTGTTTACTTCCCAAAGCCACACCAAAATGACAGCATGTATTTGTGCCCTTATGAATATATATAAATCTTTATATATATATATATATCTTTATACATACATGTATTTGCTTTTGCATAAGCTACTAAGGATAGAGACAGAACAGAACAAATTTTAAAAGCTAGAAAGTAGACAGCAATAATCAGTGCAACAGACCCAATAAACTGAAACCTAAGTAAAAAGAAGCTCAGAAATGGGCAGATTCATGTATCAAGCTCAGGAACAGGAGGTGCTCAGCATTTTAACCAGAAGACTGGCTGAAGTCCGTAAACATAAGCAGAAGGACCCCAAACTGCCTCCCCAGCCTTATACAATTGGGCAACTGTCTCTCTCACACCCCAGCAGAAAACTAAAAATTTTCAGTTTTCTGTTTGGAAAAGCCAAACCAGATTGGCAGATAATTCTATATAGAAGCTGACCCATACAAGAGAATATATCTACAAATACCAATAGTAGAGGCACTTACCAACTCCCCCCAGCAGAACAGCCCAGATAGAAACCATTATAGGGAAGCCTACCACAGTGTTGTATATACCAGAAATTCCAATCAATTTTTTAGTGTTTAATTTGTAAATACGAATAATAAGCCCAGGATTACTAGACATTTACATAAGCATCTAAGGCAAAAAAAAAAAAAAGAGACCAAAACAAACATACAAAATTTAATGGAAACAAACAAGGGAAAAGAGAAGCTGGCTTTTAAAAAACTACCAGTCATATGCTTGTAAGGCAAATGCCAAAGACCAAACATATAATATACAAAATTCGATGGAAGCAAATAAGACAAGCAAAATAGAAACTGGCTTTTAAAAAGATATCAGTAACATCCTAGAAAGATAAGATGGTACATTCCATAAAACAAAAAGAACCTATAAAAACAAATACTTAAAGAAAAAAAAATGGTACTAAAGAGAAATTTAAAATAGATATCATACATCAAAAGTTCAATAGAAGGAAAGACAAAATTGAGAAAATACAAAGAAAGAGACTGAACATAGGAGAAATTCAAAATCAGTCTGGGGGTGAGGATGAGGGGGGCAGATGGACAGTTGCATAGCACTGAGAGTGTCCAGATCGGAACAGGTGAGGGGGTCCCAAAGAGGATACCTCCATGGGAAAATAATGAAAAAGCCTCATCCTAATGTTTCTCCATGTGATAAATATGAACTGAGTGGCATTTTATGACTTTTGTAGGATGTAGGAAGAATTAAATTTCAAAGAAAATTAATGAAATGAAAATACAGATGAAGTAGTTATTAATTTCAGGGAGGCAAAAAAATGAACAGAGAGGAGGAAAAAAGGAAAGAGTAGGGGGAGATGGGCTGGGGGACAGAGGTAGGGGAAGAAAGTATTTGTTCTATGAGTCTTACTCATTCCAACTATTATTTTTTTCATTTAGCAGAAACCAAAGTTACCTGCACAAGTTTTAGCCTTTTAGAGAAAGATGATTCCAGAAAAAAGAGTTCAATCCTCTTTTCTTTTTAAATGAAGGTGGAAGATAATTTTCAAGGTAAAGAAATATTTTAACTCACTGGATAATATCAAGCATACTACACGGTTAACACATATAAACAACTTCTCTCTCTCTCCCCATGACCCTCTATTTCAGTGAATCACACAACCCAAATTAAAAAAATGATAACTTGTACTCTCCAACAAGCTGACTGCTCTGCCTTAAATCACACCCACATAGAGCATGTTCTTCAGTACTTTGCTACTTCATGTCACCCTCCCAGACCACACTACCTATCACACCACCCCCAATGCTACCCATGACTCCCTCACTCACCCATTCTCTTTCCAGAGTTATTTTTGTCTCTGGCACCTTTGACCCTCCAGCAGACAATTTTGTCTCTTTTGGACTCAGTCACATGCTAGACTACGAGACAGTGAATACCCAAGAAGTACGTGTTGAATGAATCACTGAATGAGGCACCTGACAGCGAGGCCTCCTGAATTGCTCACGTTGCCCTCTCTGTCAAGAACTGTTACTCTCCCTATTTTCTACTCTTTGGTATCCTTCATATCCTAATGAACTTCAGGATACAGAATTAAAAGCAGAAATACATTATTTTCAACGTAAGTTTTTCTATGCTAGTTGGAGAGCTCAACCTTTAGAGAAAATTTTTTTGCATTCTAAACATCAAATTTACAAAAGGATATTTACAAAAACTCACCCATGATTCTGAACAACCCATACTTTTATTTGAGCTATAGAAAAATACTTACGAAAACTATACTATCTGATCATAGTGTTTTTAGATCCTTAATATCTGCCAAGGTGACATTATAGGCTGAAGTGTTAATAATGAATATACAATTTAGACATATAGCAATTCTGACAGTAACCATTGTCTTCAGAAACTACTAACCCATAATACACTCTAGATCCTATGGAATATCACTTAGCCAGACTACTCTTACATTAAAAAAAATCTACTTCTTCTCGGGCTGGGGTTGTGGCTCGGCGGTAGAGGGTTCGCCTAGCATGTGCGAGGCGCTGGGTTCGATCCTCAGCACCACGTAACAATAAATAAAATAAAGCATTGTGTCCAACTACAACTAAAAAAAAATCTTTAAAAAAATTTTACCTCTTCTCGAAGCTGCCGTTCTCGTTCTTCTTCAAGTTTTTGGATTTCAGCCAATGACAGTGTGGCCTGGGACTGACAAGCTGTTGTATTAGACTGCTGGCCCCACGTTGAAGAAGAGGGGAGCTAACAAATAAAGGAAGGCAGGAGAGTTTGTGAAGAAATGTGGACAGGAAAAATAAGAAGCAGCAATGCATTACGTACAGCTGGAATATCCAGGATTACCTCAACTCCACTCACAACATTAATTTCAAAATTCCTTATTCATTTCATTCTCATACTATTCTTTCAGTTCGCTTCTTTTGCTTCAGTTTTGTCATTTCCCCAAACTAAGTTTATTTTAACTAAAAACACACATATACACTTATAGTTGTTCTGTCATTTTGGGTGGCAATTTTTTTTTTTTTTACATCTGGCACTGACATATACAGCAATATGTAGTCACAAAGAGAAAGGAGTTATCAAAGAATAACTAAATTGGCTTAAGAATTTTTAATCCAAGAAGGTAATGAAGAACATGGTGTGCTACCATCCAGTGAACAGGTTAGGAACAAGATTTCTGAAGGGGATCTGAGGAGACAGCTAATGAAAGATGCAGGTATAGGTCTCCCTTTTTTTCGAGCCCCATCTCCAACCCTATTCTGAATTTTATTTAGAGTCAGGGTCTGAGTTGCTTAGTGCTTTACTTTTGCTGAGGTTGGCTTTGAATTCTCGATCCTTCTGCCTCAGCCTCCTGAGCTGCTAGGATTATAGGCATGCACCACTGCACCCGGCTAGTTCTCATTCTTTTATGAATGAAAAAGTCACTGCTACCCAGGCTGTAGCTCTGGTCATGAATACTGAACTGTTTTTGATCAATAATTCTACTTTTCTCTCTTCTTTAAAGTTACTAACTAGAAAGTAATTTAAGCACATGAGTCCTGAAATCCTGAGTTCTCAAATCCTGGTTATTCTAAGAGAATCCCTTGTTCCTCTTGGCCAGAAAATGATACACCTTAATTTGGGGCATCTTATGGGTCTTAAACATAACAACAAATAATTCTAATTAGACTTTAAAGGTATAATAGTTTAAATCATCTTCCATATTGCCAAATAACAAATGAATGCCTTCAACATTACTAAACATAATCAACCCTTAATATTTTTTACCCAACAGGACAGGCAGTAGGGCATTTCTCTCAATATGTACCTGTGTTGGGCAAGAAAGGGGAAGCTACCAGAGAGAAGCTATCAGAGAAAAGACAGGTGGGAACAATGTAGGCAAAATTGAGCAGAAATGTTTTCTCCATAGGAAATGACATACTTGGAAAGCACTACCCAAAATCATGTAAGGTGTCAGATCTGAAACCTGGCACTGCCACCTGAGGGGACCTATAAAAACAGAGATGCACTAGCTCTACCATGCCCAGATATCAAGCAAGAATATGCAAATGAAACCTGAAAATCTGTATATCTTTAAGATCTGATGCAGCCAATCTCCCAGTAACCACAGATATAGTCTTAAGATCCCAGTGTATATTCATTCTCTCTCTCCCAACTCCCATCTATATGCACACATACATATGCATACACTACATATACTCTCTATTTCACAGATCTGCTCTCCAGAGTAAAGAAGAACAAAAACTTTGTGCACTGCTGGTGGAAATGTAAAAAGGTGCAACCTCTCTGGAAAATAGCCAGCAGTTCCCTCAAGTATTAAACACACAATACTGATTCAACAATTGCATTCCTAGGTTTTATACCCAAGAGAAATGAAACAAACAGCCACACAAAAGCTTGTATATGAATATTTATAGCAGCATTATCCATGATAACCAAAAGATAGAAAGAGCTCAAATGTCCAAATAAATGAATAGATAGATGCACAGAATGTGGCATTACCCATATGAGAAAATATGTGTCAGCCATAAAAAGGAATGAAGGTTTCTACATGCCACAATATGGGTGAACCTTTAAAATACTATGTGGAATGGAAGAAGCCAGACACAAAAATATCCAGAATAGGCAAATCTCTAGTGGCAGAAAGTAAATTAGAGGTAACTTAGGGTTGAGGCAGTCAGGACATCAAAAGACACAGGGTTTCTGTTGGGAGGAAGGGAAGTGATGAAAACATTTTGAATTCAATTGTTTAACAGTTGCACATATCTGTGAATAGATTAAAAACCACCGAATCATATACCCTAACTTAAATTGATGATATGTGAATAATCTCAATAAAGCTGATTCTTGAGTTCTTTATCTTCTTTCAGTGGAAGAGTAAGAGGCAAAAACCAGACACACAAGATCTGGAAATTACCCATGATTTTGTCCCTGACACCCCAAATTCTGATCAGTCACCATGTCATGTGATGCAGACTCTTAAGGTCTTCCGTCATCCTGTTCATGGCTCCTGGAGCCAAAGACATCTGCTACCATCTCTCATGGGAACCCACAGCAAGGGACTCAGCCTCTCAGCATTTGTCCTCTTTGGTAAATACAGGCATCAGTATCTAAACTTTGTTAAGAAAACTTTGTGAATATTAAATTATATAACATATGGAAAGTTGCCACTACTGTGCCTGACACAAAACAAGCACTTAATAATCAGGCCCCTCCTTTCCAAACTCACACCCACCACTGGGCCTTGATCTACCTTTCCTCCCTTATGTCTAACTCCCATTAAGCTTTCCTACAAATGGTGTTGTTTCCAGTGTTCTCCACACCTTTAAATACTAAATCTTTAACAGGGTGGGAAGAGCCCAAGGCATGAGGAACCTTGCCCATATTTAACTCACACTTCATACATACACTAGTGATAGTAATCTGCTTTTTAAATTTCCCCAAATGTTCCATAGTGTTTCTAAACTCCATGCCTCTGCTCACCCTCTGACCTCTCTCATAACCTACCCGCCACATACTGCCTGTGTAACTTGGAAAAATTTTCCATCCCTGAAAACTGTTGGGAAGCAATCATTTGCTGGAAGCCTTTCCAAACATCCCAGATGGGCAGTGCTGAGAGCCATAGCCAGTAGGAATGACACATGGCATTTTTGGTTGAAAGGTGACTCCAGCAAGCCATTGAGATGATAATGATTATGTTAAGATGTGAATTCAATTGGATATTAGACCCCTGCTGTCCGCCTGGGCCTGCTACTTTGGAGCTCTAGCGGGGATTCCCAGAGAGTTCCCATCAGTTGGGGAAGTGCGGTAGGAGGGATTTCCAGAGGAGGGATTTATGGTTGGTGTGGTGTGTCCCGGGAGAAGGCCGCGTGCGTGGAGTTCGAGGGAGTTTTGGAAATAAAGTTTGTTCCTGCTTGAGTGGCTCGTGATTTTGTGCCCAGCCAGACTGCGACAGGGCAGTGCTTCTCACATTTTAGCAAGCATCAGAATCATTTTGAGAGTTTGTACAAACACAAGCTCATTGGACTCCACCCCTACCCTAGAGGAGTGCACTCAGTAGGTCTGAGGTATAATGATCAGAGAGACTGCATGTCCAATGAGTTAGCAGGTGACCATACAATGAGAACTACCGTCATAATGCCACCTCTCCCACTATACTCATCACACAATATTCTAAATTCCTCTTTATGAAAGCTTTTATCCTGTGAGCTCTTTGAAGACAGGGAAACTAACTTTATTGCTAACTGCAGACCCAGCAGGAAGTTATTTAGAACCTCCAAAAATCTGTTCCTCCTTTCCCAGTTATTCCAGTTTCATTAATAGTTCCACTACTTGCCCAGTAGCTGAAGGCTTGCTCTCCAGTAGCCACCCAGCTTTTGCCTTTGTCCTTCAGAATCAGAGGGACAGACCTGCTGTTTGCGTGCCTCAGGCCAGTCCTCTATCGCTGGCCCCTACTATTCACAGCCTCACCACCACCACCACCCCTCTTTACTGGGCTCCCAGGCTTCACTTTCTTCTTAATTCAAATGATGCTCTGAGTTCTCCTAAAATAATCCTTTGTACACATGAGCTCTTAATCTGACTTTCAATAAATCCCCATAGCCAACTGTATTCAAGCCCTATGCTCTGGTTCCCATTTACATATCCAGATGCTGAGATGCTGACTACTCTTTAAGTCCATGAGAATTCTGAGGGTGACAGCCTTCCCCCTTTTATCTTTGGCTCAGTTTTGCTAAATGGTAATGGAATGGGCATTTCAACAACCATAGAGCCCCATTAAATTTATGGATCAAACAGATCGTCCACACCTGCATAGCTGCTTACATCCTAGCCCCTTCTGTTCATTCCTCTCATTTATATTCTTATCAATCAAAGTAAACACACTGTATTTTATTTTATTGAGGATGAAAACATTCGATAGTAACAATCAATGGTAAAGAAAACCAGTACCTATGTAACTAAAACCAGTTAGCAAGTGGCCCCTCTCATTACTGTCTTGGGCTTTACCTTCATCTGTGCCAGCTGCTGCTGCTGCTGCTGCTGCTGTAGCCTGCGCAGGGCCTCTTGCTGCTGTTGCCTCTGGCGCATAAGCTCCTTTTGCCGCTGCAGCTCAAGCTCTTTTCTCTTCCGCTCTTCCTCTTCATGCCGGAGTCTGGCTGCCTCCTCTTCCATTCGCAGCCGGTTCTCCTCTAATCGACGCTGGGCTTCTTCTTCTTCCCGGGCCCATTTGGCAGCCTCCTCTTCCTTTCCAGAAGGAAAAATTAAAGAAAAGGGGGGAAAAAAAAGTATTAATTGTAGGGGAAAAGGTCTGAATCACTTCTGAAAGCTTCTATCGAATAGCTTATAAAAATGACAGCAGAAACCCTGTTTAACATGACCCAAGGCAAAACATTTGTTTTGCTTTGCAGTACTAGGGACTGAACCAGGCATGCTCTACCACTGAGCTACACACCTAGCCCTTCTTATTTTTTGAGACAGGGTCTCACTAAGTTGCCCAGGATGGCCTTGAACCTATAATATTCGTGCCTCAGCCTCTGAAATTATAGGCACATGCCACCATCCTTGGCTCAGAAATGAGTTTTCTTTTAAAACAATTTACAGTACCCACAAAGGCCTGGCACACTCAAAAGGAGGCAACTTTAATGAATTATACAACTGTCACTTTGAAAGTATATTGATGAAAGCCCTGATCTCAAAGTGGCTCGTCACTAGCTGCAGAAAAGTCTCCTAAAAAGAGTGCTCTGTTTGAGGTTCAGGAGCTTTCCAGGGTGTTCAGTGCAAGAAGTACCAAGATCCAGGAAGGATCTTGATTACCATAAAACTTCAGCCAATTCTAGAACAAGAACAACTTTTTTTTTTCTCTTTTTTCTTTTTATAGTTGGAGAGAGACAACCTGCATTTTATTTATTTATTTATTTTTTGTTTGTTTATTTATTTATTTAAATGCAGTGCTAAGGATAGAACTCACTGTCTTACCTGTACTATGCAAGTTCTTTGCCACTGAGATACAGCCCCAGCCCTACAGGAACTTCTTAAGACCACTTAATTCCACCACTGGATCTCATCTCACCCACAGCCACAAAATTCTTTAAAAACATCTGTCCTTGATCCATTCTTCACCTTTTACTAACTTTTCTCTTAACTAGGCTCATTTTCCTTCTGGTTCCTTCCCTCAAAAACCACTATTCCCTCCAGAACTGTTTAAAAAAAAAAGACTCCTTGCCTTTGCAATCTGTTTGCTGTGCCTACAATGTTCTGTCTCAGGGTAATATGTTCTACAAAATTTAGGTCAGATGTCAGCCACTCTAAGGGGACTCTGGGAGATGAATTTCACCTCTATCTTTTCATTATGCAAAACTACCCCTCATCTGACTCTCCTATTTGCTTCTAGTACAATTGAGGCAGCTTGTTTCTACATAGCCAGTGACCATTTCTTTCAGTCTTCTTCCTTACAAAGTCTCCTAGAATCACTGATGCAGATCTAATTTAGACCAAAGTGTCATCTACTAGGAAATTACTAAGAAAGACATTCTTTCCAGACAAAAGGAACAAAGGACGAGACAAGAATCACTCCCTTTTGGACACAGGTTATACAAGGGCAAGATACTCCAAATTCCTAAACATGAGATAAAAAATATGAATTCAGAAGTTAAGACTGCCACACTTGTAATCCCAGGAACTTAGGAGGCCAAGGCAGGAGGATTACAAGTTCATGGCCAGCATGAGCAACTATAAGAGAGACCCCATCTCAAAATAAAAACAACTGGGGATATAGCTCAGTGGTAGATCAATCCCAGTACCCCACTCCCAGTATTTGACCCCCAGTACCCCCAAAAAAAAGAAAAGGGCAGAAGTATGTGATGGAACTGAATCCTAATGGCATCCCTGTCACCTGAAGCAAGTGGGTAACACTTATGGTTAGACCTCCTTGGTAAGCAAGGCAACAAACAATGTCACCTGTTGTTTGAATCACCTTCAGGTGTGCAGTTCCATTTCACAGCTGAAAGTATCCTAACTGTGGCTTTTATTTATTTATTTTTTGCAGCTTCATCACCTATAGGCTGCAAGTTTCTTGAAGACAGAAACTATCTCCTAGTGGTCTCATAGACCACCATAAAACAAGCATGATAACTGGTATAGAGCACATTGACTAAGCAACTTAACTGTTAAAAAATGATCACTACACAAGCTATCTGGGAAGCTATCTACCCATGAAAAAGTGAGTTTCAGTTTCTGAGAGAGTTTTAATCTACAACCCAGGCACAAGTCAGTCATCTCCAGCTTTGTGTCAATTTACATTAAAAAAAAAAACAAAAAAAAAAAACACATCCTGAAGTGTGGACTTACATAGTGACTTCCAAAGAACACAGCAAGGAGGGATAATTTCAGAGTGATAAACCTGACAAACCTAACTGAAGCCAATTACGTAATCAAAGTGTACATCAGCAGTCAAAAATCATGGACAATATGTACCCTTAATATGACGTAATGAAAATTCACTTTGCTTCTGTAATCTTCCTCCCAAACACCTGTAACCCCAGCTATTCATGAGAAAACTTCAAATTCCAATGTAAGATACCCTACCAATAAAATGACCAGTAATTCTCAAAACTCCTAAGCTCATCGAAAACAAAGAAATGGCTGGGGGGAACATGTAGCTCAGTGATGCAGTTTAGACCCTAAGTTTAAACCCTGGCACCCCAAAGCGATGGAGGGTTAAGTCAAGTCTGCAAAACTGTCACCGTCAAGAAAGACCTAAGGGGACCCAACTAAATATAATGTGGTATTTGAAATGGAATCCTAGAACAGAAGAAAGATGTTAGGGAAAAGTCTTAGGAAACAATAAAGGACTTGAGTTAACAATAATTAACTGGCTTATCAGCTGTAACAAATGTGCCATACTAATCTATTAATAACAGGCGAAACTATAGGGGATATATGAGAGCTTTCTATACTATTTTCTAAAATCATCTAAAAATCTAAAACTATTTTGAAAATAAAGTTATTTATATAACAATAAATAAATCTACTTATATTCTTAAACAGAATGACATGCTCTGGGGTTCTGGTTTTCTGTAGTGGCAAAACACCATAATTGGACCAACTATCTCACATGTAATTATAAAAGCTGAACAGATTTCAAAGAATCAAAACCAAAAGGTAAAAAACAAAACAAAACAAAACATAAAACACCACCAGAGGGAAATAAAGGAAGACTCTATTCTTAAAAAAAAAAAAATGTGGGCTGGGGATGTAGCTCAGTGGTAGAGCACTTGCCTATAGAATGTGTGAGGTCCTGGGTTGATCCCCAGCACCTCAAAATAAATAACACATACATACTATACATAACCAAATGTGTAAGGTTTCCAAGTTTGTGACATTTTGCCTGAGGACCCTCCCCAATTCACAAAGGGCTCAATTAGCTTGAGATGCTAAAGAGAAGGTTCTGGGATAGAAGAGTGGCCATATTCAGGGGGAACATCTGCAAATGGGGCTGGAAGAAGGAAGGGAGTTATACAAGAGATGAGGCCTCAGACCTGCTGACAACTCTAGCTACAGGTTCGGGGCAGACTTCAGGAATGGAGTCTAAAGGGAGCAGCTGGAAACTACAAGAACTGAGAGTAGATTCCAACTGCCTCCCACCAGAGGAGTGGTCAGGAAGAGGATGAAGACTGAGTTCAATGAAAGCCAGAACAAACCCTTTAAAGGAATGAAAAAGAATCCATATCATTCCCAATGCTCACTATACAATTTTTTTTTAAGAGAGAGAATTTTTAAATATTTGTTTAGTTTTCGGCGGGCACAACATCTTTATTTAATTTTTATGTGTTGCTGAGGATCGAACCCAGCGCCCCGCGCATGCCAGGCGAGCGCGCTACCGCTTTAGCCATATCCCCAGCCCCCACTATACAATTTTTAATACCTTTTTAAAAACATTTATTAGTTATTGATGGACCTTGATTCATTTATTTGTTTATATGTGGTGTTGAGAATCGAACCCAGTGCCTCATATGTGCTAGGCAAGCACTCTACTGCTGAGCCACCACCCCAGCCCCTACAACTTTAAAAATCATTAGATACACAAAGAAAGTGAAATAATGAGAAAATAAAAATATATACCATACTATATAATATCACCTTAATAGACTTCAATAAGGAATATGAGGAGGTAAATAGGAACATCTCACAACCTTGGAAAGTTCATTAAGAAGACAACACCAATAGGTTTGCATGCAACTAAAAAGAGAGCTCATCATAGCAAATACTAACAATGATAGGGACAAATAAAAAAAAAAAATCTCAGCATCCCTCTCTTGGCAATTGATATAACAAGTAGATAAAAATTAAGGATATAAAATAGTTGAATTCTATCAACCACCTTGACCTGTCATCCATAGAACATTATACTGAACCACCGAGGAATGCCTTTGGAAAGGCACAAAGCACAGTCAATACAAAAAGAGTCAATAAGTTTAAAAACACAGAGATCTTACAGATTGTTTTCTGAATACAATGTAAAATAGAAATTAATAAATAAGATTATCTGGAAAGACTCTCATATACTTGGAAGATAAGTAGCCCATTTCCAAATAATCCACAGGCTAAAGCAGAAATCACTAGAAAATATTTTAAACTAAATTATAACAAAAATATAACACATCAAAAATTGTGAGATGTAGCCAAAGCAGTGCTTAGAGGGAAATTACTGCTTTTTTTGTGCTTATCAGAAAAAAAATACAAAAAATGTAAAATTATCTAAATCTTCATTTTAAGAAACTAGAATAAGGAAAAGCAAATTAAACTGACAGTAGAAGGAAGAAAATAATAGTGATGATAGTACACATCAATGCAAAGACAGAAGAGCAAAAAACACAGCCAAAATCGGTTCTTTCAAAAGATGGGGATATAACTTGATAAATGGGCAAGACTGAGAAAAACAAATACTGTCAATATGAGGTATCAAAGAGACTACTGCTCTAAATTATACATACATGAGAAAAATGGTAAAGCTGAGGGCAGTGGCTCACACATGTAATCCCAGCTACTTGGCAGGCTAAAGCAAGAGGATTACAAGTCCAAGGTGAGCCTAGGCAACTCAGCAAGACCCTACCTCCAAAATAAAAAGGGCTGGAGATGTAGCTCACTACAATTCCCCCACCCCAAAAAGTAAAAAAAAAAAAAATAATGAACAAATATGTGTCGGCTAAATTTGGCAACTTTGTCAGAAAGCACAGATGACAAATACTGATGACAAGATAAAATAAAAACCCTGATTCATCTTATAGCTTTAAAAAAAAAAGATCACTTTATCAAAATCCTTTCCACAAAGAAAATTCTAAGACCAGATGGTTTCAATGGTGAATTCTATCAAATATTCAATGAAGAACTAATGCCAATCTTAATAAGACTTCAAAAGCTAGTGAAAAGTATTATTTTCTGACTTAAGAGAGTAACATAATCTAACACCAAAATGTGACAAATAGATTTTAAGAAAATTATAGACCTTCATTTGAACATAGATGCAAATATCCTTAACAAAATAGTAACAAATTAGGTTAACATAACAAACAGGGAATACCAAGTTGGTTTACCACTCAGTCAAGACAACAGAATATGAGCAGAAATGAGGTAACAACTATTATCAATAAATACAGATAAAGTAATTTACAAATTCTACTATTTATGAAAAAAATTTTCAGCAAACTAGGGATAGAAAATTCTAGTATAATTATATAATTATGCATATAATTTGCATCTACAAAACACTCTCAACATTTTGGATAAGGGGGTTGCTGGGGATGGGATCCAGGGCCTTTTGTATGTTCTGTCACTGAGCTATAATCCCTAAACCCCCAAACTTTCAATATATTTAATGATGAAACACTGAATATCTTTTCACTAAAATTAGAAACAAGACCATCCATTGTCAACTTTACTTCTATCCAAGACTGAATAGGGAAGAATTAAAACTGCTTCTATTGGATCAGAGATGAAGGTTCACATTGAAAATTCTAAGGCATCACCTAAAATATTGTAAGCAATAAATGAGTTTTAAAAGTCTCAGGATACAAGATCAATACAAGCAAAACAACTGCAATTCTATACAGGAGCAACAACTAACTGGCAAACAACTTTTTAAATTCCATTAATAGCAGCATAAAAATTAAAATACTCAATAAATTTAACAAAAGCTGTTCATAACCTCTAGAATATTACTGAGAAAGGAAAAAAACATAAATAAAAAGATATACCACATTCACTGACTAGAATACTCAATACATATTAAAACGCCAACTCTCCCCAATTTTCAATGACTCAATGCAATCCTATTTATAATCACAGTAGGCTTTTATTTGTTCAGAAAAAAAAAAAAAAGATGGTTTTAAATTTTAATAAAAGGCAAAAGATCTAAGATAGTTGAACAGTTCTGCATAAAAGAACAAATCTAGAAGACATATTGGATTACTTCAAGTCTCAGAGAAAACTACAGTAATCAAATCACTGCAAGCTGGTGCACAGCCCTTATCCCAGCAGCTTGGGAGGCTAAGGCAGGAGGATCACAAATTTGAGGCTAGCTGCAATAACTTATCCAGGATCTAAGCAACTTAGGGAAACCCTATCTCAAAATTTTAAAAAAGGGTGGGGAGGGGGAGGTTAGGAATGTGGCTCAGTGGTTCAATGCCCAGTACCAAAAAAATAAAAAAATAAAAAATAAATCAGTGCATTACTTATTTAAAAATAAAGGTGAATGGCTAGGGCTGTGCCTCAGTAGTAGAGGGTTCACCTAGCAAGTTTGAGGCCCTGAGTGCAATCCTCAGCACCACATAAAAATAAATAAATAAAATAAAGATATTGTATCCAACTACAAATTAAAAAAAAAAAAAAACATTAAATAAAACTAAATAGATACACACACACACACACACACACACAGGTTGATCTGTGGAACAGGAGTCCAGAAAAAGAATCATTTATATGCTTGACTTTGACAAAAGCACCAAAGAATTTCAATGGAGAAAGGAAATACCCATTCCTCATATCATACACAAAAAGCAATTACTTACTTATAAAATTAAATATAAAGGGATTTTTTGTGGGGGGGGGGGGTTGAAAAGCAGGGGATATTTTCATGTAGGTGAATATTTTTAGAGAAAGACAATGAGAAAAAATAAAAAACTCCAACCAAACAAACAAAATCCAACTAGGCTAGGGAAGCAGTTTGGTGGTGGAGTATATATGCAAGGCCTGGACTCAATCCTCAGCACTACTCCCCAAGAAGGGGAAGGGGTGGTTAAGAAAATATGATCTCTCTGTTTATCAAAGAACAGAGAAGACATAGCTTGTGAGAAATTATGTTACAAAAATTTATCTTTAAAAAAAAAATGCCTTCAGAATATAAAAATCTACATCTAAAATACCAACTAAAACTATAAAATTTAAGGGAAAAAAACCAGATAAATTGGACATTATCAAAATTTAAAATTTAAGTGTTTCAAAGCATGCCACCAAGAAAGTGAGAGAATAACACAGATATAAATCCATAAATTCAGAGTTGGTTGGTTTTTGATAAAGATGTTAAGACTTAAGAATAGGACTGTCTCTTCAATAAATGGTTCTAAAAAAAACTAGATATTCACATGCCAAATGAAATCAGATCCTTATCTCACACCATATACAAAAATCATTCCATTAGTAACTACAGAAGCTGGGTGGTTTATGGGAATTTGATGTACTATTCTGTTTATTTTGTATAAAGTTGAAACTTGCTAAAAAATAATTTACATTTTTCATCATTATAGAGAGACTGGTTTTATTTTTATCCCAGGAAACAGGGTTTCATTTGATGATAAAAAGAATTTAGACAGAAGTAACAAGAGCCATTTAGGGTGCTGGACATGATGTTGCACACCTGTAATCCCAGCAACCAGGAAGATGGAGGCAAGAAAATTACTAGTGCAGTAACTTAAGGAGACTGTATTTCAAAATTAAAATAAAAAGTGCAAAGTGTAGTTCAAAGAAAGAGCAGCCCTGGATTCGATCCCCAGTACTGAAAATAAAACAACAATAACAAAAAAGAGCCAATTAGGCTTATTTGGGTAACTTTCAACAAACTGAAAAGGCTTTAGATAGGCTATGTTAATGTCCTAATTCTTAGTTTCAGAGAAGCAATTAGAAGGAAACACTTGGCCACCTGCTTGCGTAACAATTCTTCCTGCTTCCGCCTTTCTTCCTCTTCTCTTCTCCTTTCCTCCAGTCGTCTGAGAGCTTCTTCTTGCTGTTGTCTTTCTTCCTCTTCTCGCTGTCGTCTTAATGCAATTTCTTGCTCCCTCTGGCGTCGCAGAGCCTCTTCCTGAAGAAATAAAGGGTAGAGGAGCAAGGTTAAACTCGATTTATCTATTGGTATCATATCAATTAGTTATAATTTAGAAAGGAATAGATGATGTGCTGAGTCTCTGTGAACAGTAAATATAAAAAAGTATATAATGAGGATCTAGAGTAAAAAGTATTATATAAGTTGGAGAAGTGGCACCTAAGAATAAATAAAGTTGTATTTAAAATATTAGTAGTTAAAATTGCAGTACATTGTGAAGTCTATTCTGGCTTTTCTATTAGCTACATCATTTACTGATTAACCCTAGAGGAACTACATTAGAATTTAGGCTTCGCTTTCTCCATTGGTACCTTTAACTCCTATTCTTTAATCAGCTGGAAACTTAAGGCATAGTTAATCATTATAGCCACCAAAAATTCCTGATGAGGTAAGAATAAGTTCTTCTAGTCAGAAGTACTGAGAAAGCCATGTGTCCCAGAACATGTTCTGAAAAACAAAAATCCCACCAGTATCATCAAATACAACACAGAAAGGGATCCTGCTGTCAAAGTCATTTAGCAAACACCGAGCACTACAGAATTAAATGGATTTTGTCACTGTGATACTTCTCAGAGCCTTTTAATACTGCTGCATAATACTCATACAGATGAGTTGTTCTCATCTCAGCATGAATCCTTTTGTTCTTCACAGAGCACTTCCTGGGGCCTATAAGTGGGATATATATGTGCAGCGAGGCTAGACTTCTGGGTCAGTGAAGAGCAGATTCTTTCTATGGAAGTCTATATATAAAAGCCCCAAAGAAAAATGGACCAAGCACATGAACAGACATACAGTGAAAACTACATGAAAAATGTTAAGCCTCACTATTTACCAATACTTAGAAAAGACTTAGCTATAAGGATTTTTAAGCACTCTTATATATAAAACAGTTAAAACATAGGAACAAGCCTCATGTCTCACAATAGGGAATTGGCTAAATCATTATAATTTAGAACATAAAAAATTTTCATATAGCTAGCAAATACGACAATGTAGTTCTGTTGAGGTATATTTGACATACTCATTAATGTAGTTATAAAAATGTAAGTTATAAAAAATACAGCTGGCCCTTTTTATCTATGGATTTGACCAAACCACAAAATAAAAATATTCAGAAAACTATATTAAGCTATACAAACTTTTTACCTGGTCATTATTACCTTAAAAATATAGTATATAACAACTACTTACATAATATTTACATTATGTTAGGTATTGTCAGTTATCTAGAGATGATTTAAACTATACAGGAAGATACGATTAAGGACCTGAGCATCTTGAGATTTTGGAATTTTAGGACCTATAGAGGTCCTGGAACCAATCCTCTGCAGATACCAAGGGAGAGCTATATATAGTTACATGTATGGAGTTTTGGTTTTTATTTCCTCCTCCCTAATCCCTCAGAAAAGATTCATTAAGGGAAAGAATAGAGGGCAAAGGTCTAAGTCAATGAGAAGTACAATATCATAAAGATACTTGCATGAGTGAACATATGAAAAGATGCTCAATAGATGCTCAATATCAATCAAAACCACGAGATATGGCTTCCTACCCAGCAGGGAAGGCCCTCAGAAAGAAAACAAAACCAGAAAGTGTGACAAGGATGTAGAGATACTGGAACCCTTATGTGTTGTTGTAGGAACAAAAAATGGTAAAACAGCTGTGAAAAACAGCATGGTGGTCCCTCAAAAAATTCAAAATAGAATTAGCATATGATCCAGCAACTCCACTTCAGGGTATATTCTCAAAAGTTGTAAGTAAAACTCAATACATCTATACATCAATGTTCACAGCAACAGTATTCACAATAGCCAATTATAGAAGTCATCCAAATGTCCATCAAGAGATGGATAAATAAAATGTATACTGGAATATACACCACCTTAAAAAGGAAGGAAATTCTGACATATGCTGCAACATGCATGAACCTTAAATGAAATAAGCCAGTCACAAAAAAGACAAACATTGCATACTTCCAATTATAGGTATCAGGAACAAATTCACAGAGAAAGAATTGTGGTTACTGGGGACAGAGGGAAGCAGGAAATGGGACTCTCTGTTTAATGGGTAAGGTGTTTCAGTGTGTGAAGATGAAGTAGCTCAGTAGACAGATAGTAGTGAAGTCACACAACACCATGAGTGTATATAATGCCACTGAACCAATATTTAAAGACTAACCACTTTATGTTATTGCAGATTTTATTTTCTGAAAACACACTTGACTTTAAAAAATATATATATTTTATGCTGCTCACCAAAATTACTCCCTCATGTTTTTAGCAGAAAGGCTAGAACTTCTGAAATCTAACTGGTTTATAAAATGCAGAAAATTATGAAAAAGAAATCAATTCGAAGAATGATTTACTAAGACTATGGGCACTGGTGGAAAACAAAGGTTCTCTATAAAGGTGAGTGAGTCTTCTAAAGTTCTGATCTTAATTATGCTAATACCCCCCCTGCTTTGGTGAGCAGATCACGGAACCCCTACTCTGACAAATGTAACAGTTCCCAGAGATGTACCTGTTTCCTTCGGGCAAGCTCTTCTTCCTCCCGCCTTTTCCTCTCTTCCTCCTGCTGCCTCCGAAGAATTTCCTCCTGTTGTCTCCGGAGCTCTTCTTGCCTCTTTCGCTCCTCCTCTTCCCGTTTTGCCCTCATTTCTGCCTCTCTTCTCTCCTGCTCTAGCTGGGATTACATGAGAGTATTCTCAGAAACTTGAAATCAAGCACAGGAGCACCCCAAAAGCACTCAGCAGTACTGGCAGAAGCTGGGGGGTGCAGACACTGCCATTCACTCAGTTGCTGGTGCTGCAACTGGGTGATGAAACCCTGCATGGACTCTAAGCTCTGACGAGCCACAATAACCACAAGAAGCAGGGGTATGGTGGCGCACGCTTGTAATCCCAGCGACTCAGGAGGCTGAGGCAGGAGGATCGAAAGTTTGAGGCCAGCCTGGGCAACTCAATGAAACCCTGTCTCAAAATAAAAAAAATAAAAAGAACTGGAGATGTAGCTTGGTGGTAAAGCATCCCTGGGTTCAATCCCCAGTACCAAAAAATTAAACTGAATGCATTCTCCTCCATTCTGGCCATCTCTCTCCTCTCCATACTGCACTACACTACAGACAGAAAGTGGCTAGTATGAGAGTATCATCAGAACTCTCCTGGGATGGCATGTCTGTTATTTAATCTCCCTACAAAGAATTTTCTGACTTAAGGTCTAACAGTGTAGCCACAAGGTTCAACTGCTACTGTGTAAAGCTGCTAGTGTGGAAAATGATACAATTCTTTAAAGTTTGAAGACCTTACCAAATTATATCACATATATTTCCCAAATACTACTCAAATCTAGCACCTTATCTCCAGTCCCGTTGCCACAGCTATAGTTCAGGCCTTCACTTTCCTCATCCATGTTCCTAAGAGTTTCTTATCAAGTTTTCCCTCATCTAGCTCTGCCCATGTTCTCCAGCTCAATACCAATTCCCACCAAAATAAAACAAAGAAACACTCGTAAACTTAGATGTAATAGCACACTTCACTCTAAAAATAAATCTAACTCCTTAATATGACATGAAAAAGTACCCTCATGATGACCATCCTCATCTCCTCAGTCTCTCTCTTTTATTGCTCAGATACACCTTGTCCCTGTGCCACACCAAATTACTCAACTGTCTCCAGAGTCCAGCATGTTCTCCCTCACTTTACTGGTGTTGCAGTCCTTCCAATGCAATCTAATATTAACCTCCTTCCACTTTGTCATCCCTAAACCCTTCACCTGGGCTAAGTCCTACTACCCTTAAAGTGAAAATTTACTCTGGTATTACTATCCGAAGTGTAACCCAATTCCTGCTCCCCACCTCTCTAATTGGGTAGATGACTCCTATATTCTTGACCACACTGTGCTACTTTGAGTGCTAATAATCTGTGCCTCCCTTCCGGGCCCCCACAAGACTGTAAACTCCCCAAGGAACTCTACTTTCATCAGCTATATGTTCCCAACACAAAGCACCAAGGAACCAAAAGATGCTCAAGAATTCTATGAACTATGGTGTCTCACTCATTTACGGGAAAAGACCTGAACCATGAATCTTGGGCACTCTAAATATAGACTGTTACTACCTCAAGCAACAGGAATGCATTAAGGGTAAAATAGTAATGAGACTCGCTTGGAGGCATGAGATCCCAGAAAACATTATATAATGACAACAGGAGTTGGCACAGATATCCATCCTTTTTAACTCCAAAATTCAAGATTCTAGCTCCTCTAGGAAATGTGGATGGAACACAGGACTAGCGATAATTTCCAGCTTTTCAGTCATGTCTGGGGATATGAGGAAATGACTATAAAGATTCAATGTGAGAACTTAAGCCATAGATCAGGAGTTCAACAAACAATGTAGTGGATATTTGTCACAGCCTTAGTATTTCTAACAAACGCTCATAATAAGAATAATGTAACTAAAATACACACATGACCATGATCATTCATGTCAACTATTGCTCCCTCTTTAATTTTAATTATATTGTGAGGCTGTTTTGGGGAGAAGAGAACACAAAAAGGATAGAATATGAATGTACTTATACCAGCTAAGCAGAAGTAAACTAAAAAGAAAAAGTCTGGCTAGCAAGAGAGAAAGAAGTGAATAAAGAGAAAGGCTTATGTCCTGAAGCTGGGAGGCATGCACAGCCATGGTGGCATGAGTTCCAGACCTTTGCAGCTTTGGCTTTCTCCAGCTGCTGAAGCTGCTCCAGGGCAGGGCCTGGTGCTGTGGTTTCTAGGGGAAGATCCCATACACTTCCACCTTCCCAAACTGTAAGAAAAAGGAAAAAATGAGGGAAGTCAGAGCTTGCACTCACGGTCATATACTCATGTACATAATTTTTAAAAAAGCTGCTTTTTTCCTGGGCCTGAATGAGCTCTATCATACACATCTGTTTTGCTTTTAAGTAGACTGAACTACCAGCAGATTCTCGTTTCTATCACTGTCCTTCAATACATCTAGAAAGAAAGAAGTATAGGGCATTTATTGGGGAACTGATGTCAAAATGCAAAAGCTCTATAAAGGCATCTGTTCAAATCTCCCCAACTTTACAGGTAATAAACTAGTTTTTAAAACTCCCAAGGGCATATGGCAAGTATGTGACCATGCCAAGACTTCAATCCCAGTGTGCTGGATCCAACTCCATAGACTTCCAGTAGCCATACAGCCTCTTGCTATACTCAACTAGAGAGAGCTAGGTGGGTACACACTGTGGAGATATTAAATGCCACTGAACTATTCATTTAAAAATGGTTACAGAATGAATTTCATCTGGAAAGAGAGCCTGTGTGTTACAGCTGGAGCTGGGGAGGTCTCTGGCAAGGTTGGAGAGGTGTTACAAGTAATATTTGGACAGGGTGATCTAAAAGGCAGTACAGGATCATACATGGAAATGACAGATAACGACTTCTGAGTATATTTTGTTACTGCCAACAAGATTTGCCAACATCGCTTTTGATCTATTTCCTATGACACTCAATTTATGAACTACTAAATACTGTATAAAGCCCATGGACTTTAAAAGGACTATGACCCCACACAAATCCAAAGAGAGAAATTGTTTAATCATGTACTTAAGAGTTTCCAAAACACTGGAGAATATTTTAATATCCTAACTATAAATGACTTCTAAAAAAAATAATAAGGTACACATAGCATAGAAAGTTTTTGAAGGAAGACAATACAACCTTTCACTGTCATAATCTGCAGGATCAGTGTTAGAACACTGCTTTATGGCTCAACAGCTCTTCACCAATGTTTACAGTTCCTAAGAATTTTCAAATAACATATAGCTCTTTTTTTTTTTAAACACAATATCTTTATTTATTTATGTTTACATGGTGCTGAGGATCAAACCCAGGGCTTCGCACTTGCAAGGTTAGCGTTCTACCGCTGAGCCACAACTCCAGCCCCCAAACTCATATCTCATATAAGAACTACTCATTATTCAAACTTGCCACACCTCTGCAGACATCAGACCTTAAGAAAAAGAAGTACTTACTTCACCAGCATCCTGACTTTTTTAAAAAAAGAATCCTAACCACAAATTTTCTAATTTGATGCAAAAAGATCAGAGGATGAAGGAAGGTACTCATTTCAAAGCATGCTTTTCTCTTCCTTACATTTCTGGGCATCTACAATATTAATGCATGTTATCAATCCTTAACTCAAAGATAGATCTGTTTTTACTTATGCATGTTTTCCACTTTTAACTAAAGAAACCAAAAGCAATTAATACTTTTCCATTAGAAAATCCTTTACAGTGTATTTTTAATACCTTCAGTCTTCTTCTATGATCTATTACTAATGGAACTTTTTGTTAATATTCAATACAGAATGGATAAAAATCTGACACATTTTTTAAAAACTGAATTATAAATTACTACTACACTCTTAAGTGTTTACCTGTAGGCTGTGAGGCTGTTGGCTGAAGTTCCCAGATAGAGCCAGTATCTGGCACTGACACAGACCTAGTTACTGAGGGAATGATGTTCTGATCAGATACTCTGCAAGAGAGGGGAAAAAAAATTAACATGTTCTTGTCACTTGCAAAAAAAAAGAGCAACTTCTAGATTATTATGGGTTTTCCGGGTTATTGATCACCAAACTACCAAAACAGTTAGACGAGGAACAAAAATAGAGGCACAGTGATCACAGGAATCTTCTACAGTATTAGCAAATATTGGTTTCTAAATGACTGCTGTACCTACTATCTTTTAAAAACCCTGATCGTGTCAACAAAAGTCACAGTGGTGGCAGGTTATGATAAAAAAGCCAAAAAGTCTGCACTTTTGTCTCTGAAGTTTTCCATGTTAGCTTAGCCAAGTCCTATAGCCTCACAGAGCCCCAGTTTGCCTATCATTAAAACAGAGGTCCTACCACCAACCTGCCTGCTTCATAGGATAGATTAAGGTTCAAAGGAGAAATATGAATCCTTTTGATTAAATCAGACAGTAAGGTTTTGATAGCAGTAACTGGCACATCTTCAGGAGCTAAGACAAATATCCTGAATCATAATCTGAAAGAGCAGAAACCTAAATGCTTTCTGCATAATTTCCCTGTCCTTGTACCTACTTTAATGGTTTTTGGGTTCCAGAAAATCTTAACTCTATATAGCATTATTAATATATTTTTACAGATATTATGAATGAAAGTAAAATTAAAATCCTAGACTATGATTTTTTGTTGTTCTTACAATTCCATAAGATCATCCTGCTTTTCAAGGAATAGTGTTCTCATTATTCTTTGGTTATTACTTAAAAAAAAAAAAAAAAGTTTTTTTTTTAAATGCTATGACCATCTAAATTACTTTTTAAAACTGTATTGTTTTTATATACAACATGTAGATATGGATTATCTGTCAATATTCTGACAAATTCACTCATTATACCAAATTTCCTTTAATTCTTTCACATGTGTGAATGTACACACAGGCATGCACATACACACACACACACACACACACAAATGTGATACATAATGGAAATGACCACCAACCTCATCTTTAGAGCCTGGAACTGTTGGAGGAGAAGAGCCAACTGTTGCTGTTGCTGGGTTGGCAAGGTTGTTTTCTGTTGCTGATTCAAAACCTGTGCGTATTGTTGTCTTCAAAAAGTTAAAGGGAAAAAAAAAAAAGAGTGACCCTACATTTATAGTTCACTTGAATAAGACATCGAAAGACAAAGTTGAGTTCATCATCACCCCCAAAATCATTAGAAATAGCAACCAAATATATTTTATGATCCTTCATAATAATAACAGTCACACAGAAAATTCTGTAATTTGTTTCAGAGATAACTAAACTCATAGATGACATGTTTCTGGTGAATATATAGATGATATATTTCTAGCAAAAAGCAAGCAACAACAAAAATCCCACAAAATATAGAAAAGTGCCAAATGCCTTCAATATGAAAACAGTCCCTTACCAGATTAAAAGTGAAAAATAAAACAGATTTAACAGCTATTTCCAAATGAAATACCCTCTGCAAAAAATAAAATCACGTCTATAAAATTTTTTAAATTTGAATAATTCCACTTGGAAATTTATAGGTAATTTCCCCCCCTAGATCTGAGAAGGGGCAAAGAGTAAATAGTTTCAGCTTTGCAAGCCACACAGTCTCAACTCTGTCTTTGTGAAGCAAAAGCAGCCACAGACAATCTGTAAACAAATGGATGGACCTGTGATCCAGTAATACTTTGCTCATTAAAAAAAAAAAAAAGTAATAGGCCACCAAGGCCAGACTTTGCCAACCTGCACACCAGAGCAAACCTACTTCTTCTGTAAGGATTATGCAACCTGAGTGATTTTGTCATCATTTCGGCCTACTCTTAAACAGTATAAACTTTAACTTCTTCCTGCCAGTAACCTATATGTTGTCTCACTGACAGCCTCAGAAGGCATTAAGTTCTTCAAACATTTTTGCCTCTTCCTTTAATAAATACAGACCTTGAAAATTATAACTATGTGTCATCTTCTGCAAAATCTGGCATTTAAGAGGTAAGATAAGACTACAGTTAGAATGTACAGTGGTCAACATGCCACTAGTAGGCTACTAAAGTATCACGTAAGCCTGCAGCACTCTGCTGTAAAGGTGAGAGACTGGGGAGCAGATCCTGTCTAAAGCCCCTTTGGTGCTGCAGTATATCATGCTGCATTTTTGCTTACTGTATCAAGAACTGCTGGTACTGGAGGTGCTGCATCTGGTACAAGGCTGTGAGTTCCTGCTGCCTGGTCAATCGTTCCTGGTCCAACTCCCCCTGGGAGTAAAGGGATGGAGGAAGAAACACTATTAAATAAACTGCAAAGAACCTAAAAGCCACTTTGTATATATATCTGAAAGCAATGAATCCAAGACCTTCCCCTCAAACACTATTCTTTTACCCAAACCCTTAACTAAAAACTCTAGTATCTTTAAAAACTAAACAATGCCATCTAGTGGAATAAGATGGTGTCTTAATTATAAGAGATTCCTTAAGGTGAGGAATTATTTCTTAATAGTATCTCCCTCTCCATCTCTTTGATAGTACCTCCTGATACTATCAAAGAGATGGAGAGGGAGATACTATTAAGAAACTTTCAAAAGGAACTTTTTGGGGAGAGGCCTGGAGAAACTTCAAGAAGGATTCCCCAGCCAAAGATTTTAAGTCCCCGAAATATCCTGAAGCACTGATGATATTTGTTTCAGGAAAAGACTCAAATTTAAGAATGCTCTGAGCCAGAAAACAAGAGGCAAATGGAGATACGAGGAGGAGAATGTGCATTCCATCTAAGGAACTCAAAGAGGATATTTATGGTGAAGCACAGCAGATGAATGAAGATAAAAGTTCTAACATGAGCTTAGAGTGGTAAGGAGGCAGACCACAGGTAGGTCAGGGTAAGTTGTTGGTTTTCCTTCATGCTACATCTGCTGGAAAGGCACTGAAGAATCCTGTTTCACAAGTACACAGGGGACAAAGAGGGAGGGAGAGATTTGAAAAGGCCATTATAGCTCAGTATTCAGTCTCCCATTATCATTTCAATCACTTTCAAAGGACTACCATTTCTTTCTTATTAAAAGTAACACGGGGTTGTGTTTCAAAGAGAACCAAGTGCTTCTGTTTCTAACATGTACTCCAATTGAGCTGGAAAGTACTCACCATATGAGGAGGGGGAGCTGGGCCTGGGGAGAAGGGAACTCTTCCCCACATCTTCATGATATCACCTAGAGGTTGGAAGCTTTCATCACATGCTCTCTTCACCAACAAAGACATAGTAAAGTAGCCAGCCTGAAACCATTCCGCCATCTCTTGATTATTAAAGGGACCTGTAAGAACATCAATTAAACAAAAAAGCAGTAAGAATTCCTTTCTGAATCAAACAAAAGAAATATTCCCTAAATCTGATCCTCAAAAGATTTTTTTTTTTTTTTTGTACTGGGAATTGAGCCAAGGGCTGTTTAACCCCTGGGCCACACCCCAGCACCCTACCCCTTTTTTCTGAGACAGGCCCTTGCTAAGTTGCTTAGGGACTCACTAAGTTGCTAGGGCTGGCTTTGAACTTCAGAGCCTCCTGCCTTATCCTCCCAAACCACGGCAAAATATTTTTTATAGTATTATAATTTACCTCTAAAGGTGCCATATAGGCTTCTAACTAATAAAATATAACAGAAACAATTTTTAAATAAACCCCCTCCTTTTTTAATGGTGCTATAGATCAAACCCCAGGGGCCTTGCATATGCTAGGCAAGTGCTCTACCACTGAACTACATCTGCAGCCCAAACTCTGTTTTTATATATCCCACAGTCACAGTAGTGCTTTAGTTATTACCTTTATCTCAGTTAATCTCTATAACAATTCATTCGTCAAAAAAAGTAAGAAACAATTGAAAAGAGTTAATAAGTACTTGGTGGACTTTTTATCATTTGAACATAGAAAAAAATAAAACTTTCAGGGCTAAACACATTCTCTAGTTTTTATATTCTTCTAGGAGGTAGGGCAAAATATAAACAAAAATCAATTAATCTGAGACAAATTACAATTTACCAAGGTAAGATTAAATCTGGCCCTGGGAAAAGATAAACTAATGTTCTCTAGATTTTACAATAAGAAATCATCGAGTATTTTATACATTAAAAACTAACAAAGCATGTGATCAGTAAAATATAATCAATTCATTCAACAAATATTTACTAAACACAGGCTATATAAACTAGGCAATTGATATGTAATAATAAAACAATGCCTTTGGGACTTCCACTTCAGATAGAGTAGATATACTTTTCCTTACTTCTCCTGCTAAGCTCAACTGAAAACTCTGGAATTCTTCTAGAAACGAAGAAGGAGGCAACCAGAAACATGACCCAACCACAGAAGAGTCCCCAGCTTAATGGTTTGACTTCCAATATTTCCCCTTTGTAGTGATGTGAATGTGCTATACAGTCAGTAGAAATCATACTTCAACAATACTTCCTAACTACACTAACTCACTCACAGCTCCCAGTCAGCCATCAGATCATGAGGGTAAAAAATGAAGACCCTACAGCATACTTTGTTGCTAAGTTACAATGTTCAGTAGGTTAGGTATATTAAATATTGTTCCACTTACAATATTTTCAACTTATAATCAGTTTATTAGGACATGATCCCACGATAAACTGAAGAACACTTGTATATACTACCATTAAGGTGGACTGAAAGTAAAATAATAGGAAAAATTTCATCATGCAAAGATTAACAAAAAGTTATGTTAGTAGTTGTATTAGGATCTGATAAGGTAAACAAAGAAAATTATCAGAGACAGACATATAACAATAAAGGGTTAATTCACCGAGACCCAGCAATTATAAATGTGTAGGGCTCAAACAACATAGCTGCAAAATATATTTAGCAAGATGTGAGAGAACTGAAAAAGAAAGAGACAAATCAACAAGCGGAAGACAACAATATCCTTCACTCAACTTTTGTCGGTAAACCTTTATTTTGTTTATTAATTTATTTATTATGCGGTGCTGAGAATCAAACCCAGAGCCTCACACATGCTTTTTAAATTTGTATGAAGCCCAATGAGCCACAACCCCTGCCCTTCACTCAACTTTTGATGGAACAACTAGGCAGAAAAATCAGCAAAATTACAGAAAAACATAAATCAAACATTAGAAGTGAGTTGAATTTTTTTAGAACACTTCAAAGATAGCAAAATATACATTCTTCTCAAGTACCCACATTACATATAACACTGATAAACCATCTTCTAGACCATAAAACAAATCTCAAAAACTTTAAAAAAAATTGAAATCATTCGCAGTATTCTCTTTGATTAAAACAGAATCAAGCTAGATACCAACAAAAGAAAGAAAAAAGGGAAATCTCTAAACACTTGGAAACCAAAAACACATCTGAAAATAATCCATGGATAGAAGAGGAAATCTCAAGGGAAATTAAAAAACAAATACACAGAATAGAATGGAAAGGAAAATATACATATCAAATTTTTCGAGAGACAGCTGAAGAAGTGCTGAGAGAAAAAAAATATAGTATCAAAGGTTCAACATTATCAAAGAGGAAAAATCCCAAATCAATATCTTAGTTTCTACTTCAAGAACCTAGATAAAGAACAAAGTAAACCCCAAGTAACCTGAAGGGAAAAAAATAAAAAGCAAAAATTAACAAAATTAAAAACAAAAATAATATAGACAACAGTCAATAAAACAAGAAGCTGATTCTTTGAAAACATCTGTAAAACTCACAAAAAACTCTGGTACAAAGCTGGGCATGATGATGCATGCGTATAATGCCAGCAACTTGAGAGGCTGAGGCAGCCTCTCAATTCAACGCCAGCCTCAGCAATTTATTGAGGTCCTGTCTCAAAATAAAAAAATAAAAAGGGCTGAGGATGTAGGCTCAGTGGTTAAGCACCCCTGGGTTTAATCCCCAGTACAAAAAAAAAAAAAAAAAAAGATTGGTACAAATGGCAAAAAAGAAAAATACATAAATTACCAATATTGGGAATGAAGCAGGATAGACACTATAAAATTGAAGATCTAAATATATAGTAAGAGGTCTTTCTCTGCTTGAAGAAAGCTCTTTCTCTCTCTTGAGAATGCTCTTTGTTTAAGCCTTACAATTTTTTTCCAATAGTAAAGCTTTCTTGCATGGCAAAACCAAAAACAAAACACACAATTAGAGAATACTACCAACAATAGCTCTACACACGTAAATTTCGTATCTTAGATAAATCAGACCAATTTGTCAAGAAGTGCAAACTAACTACCACATTAAATAGCTCTTTCATAATTAAGGAAATTGAATTTGTGTTTTGTTTTATGTTTGTAGTACTAGGGATTGAACTCAAAGGCACTCTATATTCCTAACCCTTTTTATTCAGAGACAGGGTCTTGCTAAATTGCCCAGGCTGGCCTGGAATTTGTGATTCTCCTGCTTCAGCCTACTGAGTTCCTGGAACTATAGGTGTATGCCGCTGCACTCAGACTTATTTGTAATTTTACAATTCCCAAAAAAGAAATCTCCAGATGATTTCACTAAAGAATTCCACCGAACATTTAAAGAAGAATTAATACCAATTCTAAATAATCTCTTCCAGAAAATAAAAGCAGAGGGGATATTCCCAATTCATATTAACCTGATGCTAAAACCAGATAACAGAAAGTACAAAAAATACAAAATAAGATCCTTCATAAATATAGATACAAAATTTTAACAAAATATTAGCAAGTAAGATTCAATAATACACACAAAGGATTGTATTGTACACCATGAACAACTGGAGTTTTATTCCAAGGATGCAAGCCTTGTTTGATATTCAAACACCAATCAATGTAATCTACTATATGAAATGGGTAAAGAAGAAAAACCACATGATCATATAAACAGATGAGAAAAAATACTTGATAATATCTTACATATGATAAAAACTTAGAAAACAGAATGAAAGAGTACTTTCTCAACTTAATAAAGAGCATCTACAAAAACTCTATGACTAATATTATGCTTAATGATTAAAGACTGAATGTGTTCCCTCTAAGAGAAGAACACAGGACCACACCACATTACAGAATAAAAAGGGTGGAGGGAGTTTGCCACTCTTGATCATTGTAGTGATAAAACACATAATGAGGCAATAAAGGAAATAAAACGCATACAGGCTGAGAACAAAGAAATAAAAACTGCCATCATCTGCAGATGACATGACTGTCTACCTGGAAACAAATCAAGCACAATCAAAGGGTATAAGATAAATACCCAAAGTTCAACTGCATTTCTTTTTTTTTTTCTTGTGAGACAGTGTCTTGCAATATGCTAAGACAGGTCTTGACTGTGTAATCCTCCAGAGTCACTGGAATTATAGGCACATACCACCACACACGGCTACAATTGAAATTCTATACACTAGTCATGAATACAAATACACTGCAATTAAAACTATAACATTTACAATCACTCAAAGAAATCAAATACTCAAGTGTAAATCTAACAAAACATGTAAAGAGCCTATAATGAAAACTACACAATATTGATAAAAGAAATCAAAGATATCTAAATTGACGATAGACCATTGCTTGTGGATTGGAGGGCTCAGTGTGGTAAAGAAGTCAATTCTCAACTTTATGTGGAGATTTACCATAATTCCTATCAAAATCTCAGCAAGATATTTGGAAGATAAGGGCAAAATTATTCTAAAATCTATATGGAAAGGCAAAGGAACTGAAGCAATAAAAGCAATTTTGAAAAAGAGGAATAAACTGAGAACAACCAGTCTACCTGATTTCAAGATTATTATATAGGTACAAATAATGAAGACTGTGCGGCATTCTGAAGGAATAGACACACAATAGAAGACAGTAGAGAACCAGAAACAGACCCACACAGGTATTCAACTGAATTTTTTTTAAATATTTTTTTTTAGTTTTCAATAGACCTTTATTTTATTTATATGTGGTGCTGAGAATCAAACCCAGTGCCTCACATGTTAGGCAAGCACTCTACCACTGAGACACAACCCTAGCCCCTGTTCAACTGAATTCTGACAAAAGTTGAAAGAAAATAATTTAAGGGAGCACAGTGTGTCTTGGTCCTAAAGCAAATAGACATCCATCAGCAAAAGCAAATCAAACCAAATAGAACCAAATGAAACATAACTTGATAGTATGTTTCATACCTTACATAAAAATCAACTCAAATGGACCATCAATTCAAATGTAAAATTTAAGACTTTAAAAAAATAAATATAAAATATTTGGGATCTAAAACTAAGCAAAAAATTCTTAGACTTAAAACTAAAAAGAATAATCCATAAAAGATCTACTGGGCTTCATTCAAATTTAAAAAGTTTTGCTCTGTGAAAAACTGTTAAGAGGACAAAGAGAGGAAAGGATGATTGGGAGAAAATATATGAAAACTACATATCTGTCGAAGGACAGTTACCTTGACTCAGTAATCAAAAATCTCTTGACAAAGAAAAGTTCTAGACCTGCTGGCTTTAACATCAATCCAAAAAAAAATCAAAGAGGAGGGAATGTGGGCTGGGGATTTGGCTCAAGCTGTAGCACGCACGCCTGGCATGCGTGCGGCCCGGGTTCGATCCTCAGCACCACATACAAACAAAGATGTTGTGTCCGCTGAAAACAAAAATAAATAAATAAATATTATTAAAAAAAAAAAGAGGAGGGAATGCTTCCTAACCCATTCTGTAGTTCAAAGCCTAACAAAAACACCATAAGAAAACTACATACCAAAATCCTTTGTGAATACTGATACAAAAATCATGAAAAAAACACTACAGCAAAGCATATTCAGCAGCATTTAAAAAGGATTATACACCTAGTCATGTGCAAGTTACTCCTGAAATGCAAAGATGGGTCAATATATAAAAACTCATCAATGTGATATAGTACATTACAGAATAAAAGTGGGGATCAAATATTTCAATTAATGCAGAAGTGTTTGACAGAATTCAAAAACCTTTCATAATAAAAAAAGTCAATAAAGTAGTAGAAATAAAAGGAAACTACTTTAACACAATTAATGCCATATGTGAAAAACTCGTAACAAACATTACAATAAATGGTGAAAACTGAAAATAAATTAAAACACACATATACACAAAGCCCTGCTTCTCAGGTTATCTCATAGTGTAGTAGGATGTAAACAATAAATAAGTATACATAATGCCAGGTAGCAATAAATAATATTAAGGAGAACAAAGCAGTCAATAAAGACTCAGAGAGTAGAATGGGAGTTAATACATTGGAAAGAACTTACAGGGTGAATTCAGTAAAACACTATCCTGAAAGTGACATTAATATAGTCAACAATCAATTTCATGTTGGAAGATTTCAAAAGCAGAAATAAAGAATCCACAAATATTCTGTATAGCTTTCTCTCCCAATCTAAATTTTGCACCACACACATCTTTTAAGGAATTCATTTATAGTATAGCACTATCTTTTCTCAGACATTTTTAGTAGTTCTCTACCCTTTATTTCAGCAAAACATTCAAGGTCTCCCAACACCACTGCCATCACCTTTTGATGGTCAAGGAGACTGAAGCACAAGAGAAATGCATAACTTACACCTGACTACTTCACCAGCTTTACTTATGTCACTTTACTTATGCCACTGCCATATTAATCATCACATTCTGCCTTGTGTTCAAATTATTTTCACACACATATATATTTTCACATATATAAACAAAGCCTGCTGATGACTTTCCAGACTATTATGCAAGTTAACATTAAATAAATCCTCTTCTTAAAAGATTTTGGAGGTAATGGCAGGCACTTCAGTATTTCAAGTAGGGGAGAACAACTTTACCTTGAATTTCTCCCTGAGGATCTTTGTAATACCACTTCTGCATTGCTTCATGCATCAATGGAATTGACACTCCTTTAGCTCTGTGCTCCTGCAGTTTTGATGCTAGTCTCTCATCATCTAGTGCACTGTCCTGGAGATAAGCCACCATCTTCTCAGCTTGCTAATAAAAAATAAGAAAAACAAAAAGAGACCAAGGAAACAAATGATCCTAAATCAATACTTACACATGTTATAATGCCCACCTTTTATTGGTCTACTTGATCTGTGAAAGACACTGAAAGGAACAAAGCAGGCAGCAATTTTCCCAAAAATGCCATAAAATAGGTACTGTCCCCATTTTACAGAGGGAGAAACTAAGACTCAAAGATGTCAAGTCTTGCTCAAGGTTTCAAACTGGTAAAGATCAAAATCCAGGTTCCTAATAAATACACTAATAAAGTTTTCCTTTTTCTCTCACAATATATCTTATGCACCATACAAATCTTTCAAGGATTTAGTAGCTGCTGGTTAATTCTAAATTGCATAAACTAAAAACAGGATTTTATTAGAACAAAAGGCTCAATTTCTACAATTACAAATAAAATTTAAGGCCCACACTCCCTTCTTTTAGCATTTCCTGTCTCTAACAATCCCAGTCTGAAGGAAAGAGAAATTATTTTGTACAAAAACAATATTTCAATGGTATATGCAATCTTTGGGAAATCTAGAGACAGGAATATAATGCTAACATCCTGAGACTTAAACTAACATCCCTGTTATACTTGAGGCAAAAAACATGGACAACATGGTGCCCATCCACAGCTGCTTATATTCGCCATTTCTGGCATTTGATTAATGTCCAAAAAAGACAAAAGAAAAGTAAACAGCTAAGGGCAAACCCAGAAGAGCAAAAAATAATCTGACATAATTACTACTACATAGCAGAAACTTAAAACCATGAAATGATTTGAAAGACAATTACTCATACAAATAAATACAAAGTAACCAACAACTTTTCCATTCCACTTAAAATTTAGTGCACAAAAGTTCTATATTTGAATATTCATTTAAGGGTTTCTTATTTTTATGGCAGCTTGAAAGGAGATGAGAAAGAATAACATGATTTCTACCTGCTCCAAGTGTTTGAGACCCTCTTCATCATCTGGCTCTGTGGAAACACCGCCCATACCAGGAGCACCAACAACTGGCATCTCCACTGGCCGCGAGGCAGGACTGGGAGCAGTAACAGGAGGTGGAAGTATGAGAAGAGGAGAGGCTGGGTCTGGAGGGAGCTGTGTCAGGGGCTGCTGGATGTCAGGAACCATTTCTAGAGGAAGAATTTAGACTAGTAAAAATCTGTATACAGAGACTCTTGTTAGGTTAACTCAACATCATTAACTTGGGCAGCCTGCTGAATGGGTCCAACAGAAATGTGACCCCTGTCATGAACACTGAAGCTACTTCCTATGGAAAAATGTAGTACTGTCCCTAGAATGACAGTATTATTTCTACAGGATGAGAGAAGATAAGCGTTAAGAGGTCCCTAAAAGATCTTCCTACAGTGTCTACTTGTGTCACTTGCACATATATCCAACAGCTACAGCTGGAACTCATGGCAACAGTTTAATCCCTTCTTTATGTACCCAAGTAGTAAAGACAATTATCAAACCACCAGAATTTTCTCAAAAATGTGTCAAACCTCATCTAATTCTCCACTGAAAATATCAGCAATCATTTTTAAGTGCCTATTATCAAGTCATAATTCAATACATTACATGTTTTATTTAGGAGTGTATGTGAATAGTGCAGGATATTCTTTTCAATAAAGAGTAGAAAATATAAAAGCAATTCTGTCTTGGCTACTAGTTCTCTCTCTCAGCAGGCAGGCTCTTAAGAAGGAAAAGGAAAGTTGGGGAGTGTAGCTCAGTGGTTGAGTGCTTACCTAGCAAGTGTTAGGCCCGGAGTTCGATCCCCAGCAAACAAACACAAACACACACACACACGCACAAAGGTAGGTAAAAGGGGTGGGGGTGCATGGAAATAATCAAATACAATTTTAGTTTCTCCTTTGAAACCTGTTTCTTCAATTACAGAGGCCTTCTCCAACCAAATTCCTGATCTCCTTACTCTGCTGAAGTTTTTTAAAGGATAGTCCATATATGCTGTCTCCCCTTTACCACCACCCACCCTTAGACTTCTATGCTCTCTCACCTCAGAAAAGCTCTTCTCTGAAAGCCAAGCACTTGCTGCTAATTTAATGACTCTTCCTCATCTTCATCATCTACTCTTGGGGGAGGGAGAGGGGGGATTGAACCCAAGGACACTTTCTGGCATCTCTTTTTTTAAATTAACACTTCAGAACTAATGTCCCAAACTGAATCTATTTTTTCCTTTCTCAAATGTGCCCAACTTTCACTCTTTTCCTGTGAAATGCACCATAATCTTCTCAAGCACCTCAGTCACCTTTGCTCTCTTCTCTGCCCTGACAGTCAGTCAGTGACTAAGTCCTGTCAATTTTGGTTCTTAAATCTCACCTGCAACCACTCTTTTACAGGTGCACTATCTACCTCATTGTGATTGCCTAAGAGCCTAAACTGTCAGAGTACATACAACCCACCTGTCTTTTCACAAGATACCCCATACATAGCTGCCAAATCTAAGTTCCAATGATGTTCTTTACCAATCTCCTTTTCTCTCACACCTCATACCATATCTAAAAAAAAAAAAAGGCAGATTCTTACCACTGCCTCAGTCAGTCCTACTTCCTCACTTTATCTCACTGCTTCCTTGTACTAGAATGCCCTCTCCCAACTTACCCAGTCACACCTACACCTCCAAATGCTACTTATCATTCCAAGATGAGTTCAAAAACTAACTGCCTCCTGATGCATTCCAGGAGTCTGACAATAGTGAACTTCTACTGTTATTTTTTGCTCTGGGTTGTTGGTTATTGCATGATTGAATTCGCTATAGACTACAAATCTGGAATATTAACTTTTAATGCACATCTATGAAGATCTCTCAGAATATGCATGTATGCTCTCGATGCTAACATCTAGAGTAAGACCTTCAGGGTATGTCCTTTTAAGAAAGCACACTGCAAATAATTCTGGGGTATATCATAACTGAAAAACAAATACTTTGATTCAAACAGGTCTCAAGAAGCATAAGTTCCACAGTTTTTGACACATAGACATCAAATATTTGTTGAATCGGTTCATTCATTCATTCATTCAGCTTTATGCTCTACATTAAAAAACTGAAAAGAAATTATTGGTTCAAATAAATTCTCAAAGTATCAAGTCTACTGAGGAAAAAAAACAGATCGTTAGAATTGTGTGTGCACACGCGCATGCGTGCGTGAGTGTGTGTGTGTGTGTGTGTGTGTGTACACGCGCATGTTAGAAACAGTCCCAGTTGTTTTTAAGAAACGAGAAATGTTGACACTCTAGCCTGGGGGCTTGGCAGGAAGAAAGTTTCAGACACAGTATGAACACGAAAACAGGGTATAAATCAGGACCTAAACGCTTTCAGAGTGGTGAGTCGTGTGAAGGAGATGGAGAACAGCACAAAAGCAGCATGCTTTGAGGCAGATGCTGTATCAGGTGAACTTTCCCAGGCGATATGAAAGGCTGTGAGTTTTGCTGAAGAATGAATCAAACAACCCTTTAACATCAAGCATCACAATGTTGTTTTTAAAATGTGTGTAAGAATAATCATGGAAATAAACAATAATAATTGCCTAAAAATGGCAATGAGCAGTTCAAACCAATACAGCAACACTGGAGAAGATAAGGAAAAAGCATATATTCTAGCAAAGATGATGGGACCTCCAGAATCACCCATGCACTCTTTTTGGCTTCTTTGGAACAATGGTGTTTTGGTGTAAAGTTGTGCACAAATACCATTACAAGAAGGAAAGGTTAATTGTATGATATGGGAATTGAACTAATGCAGAGAATTCCAAACCCAACTTGCAAATGATGCAAGGACAGCTATGTGATAACATCCACAACGTGAAATCTCTGAGCTCCAACTTCACAGATTTTATTTTGGTGAATTCTGATATGAATAGTTATGTGGGGAACGTTGTTTAATTGCATTTACTGATTAAAAAAAAAAAAACTATTCTAATAATTCACCCACCACAAGGAATTCTAGGAGACATAAGTCAAAGCCTGTCATATCAGTGATCACAGGCCTCAACAGAATCCTAGTTTGTCTACTCTCACAAATACATACCATCCCCTCTGCTGGGCACCTTGGCTGGCAGACTGTTTTCCGTCCGAATCTCCTCTTCAGCTTTTTCCATTTGCTCAGTTTTAGACTCATCTTTCCTCTCAAACTGTGATGCTGCTTCCTGAGGTTGATGTTCTGAAGGAGTACCTGGTCGAGCAGATGATGGCGAAGTTTGGGGTATTTCCTCACTAGCTTCTGGAACATAAAGGAATTTTAAATGAATTTAGGAAATTTTTGGTTTGATGGATAAAAAAGGTAAAACACAAAAATAAGCCTTACCAACTCCGACTCTATCTACTTTCTCTCCCTCTTTCTTATTGGTCTTATCAGGTTCTTTGGCCTCTTCATTATGGCTACCCTCGGAGTCAGAACACTCCTCCCCTTCCTCCACAGGTCGGAAGTCCATCTCCTGCTCTTCAGGAATAGGCTCTTTCTGTACTTTCTGTAGTAAGAAAATAAAACCAAAGGTCAACAGCATATTTGGCTTTGGTGTAAGGTCAAGGTCTGCCATCATTTAAAACAAATTTCTTACTTTTAAAGAGAGGAATGCTCCAGATGAGTCAAACGTGCCCATTTCTTCTTCAGCATCTTCTAAGCACCATTCAGGCAAACTATCCCTGTCATCATCTATGCTCCCACTGCCAGAGCGCACTCTTCGATAACCTCGTTCATCATCCCGATCTCGAAAATCAAACTCAAACCTCCGACGGCGTTCCATGTGTTCCCGCCAGCCTGCAGAACGAGGGCCATCTGAGATGAGGAGGAGGACACAAACCTTAGAAAAGTTTTATGACAGTATTTGAAAAAGAAAATCATGGCCAGGGAATAAAGGAGAAAACTACAATTGACAGCAAATCCAAAGGGATCAGTCTAAAGAGAAAATTTAGCAAACTGATGTTCAGAGCTCCAAGTAGATATACGTCATCACTAAGTGACAACAGTACTGACCTTCATTAAATACTGAGCCATAGCTGGGTGCAGTAGCACACACCTGTAATCTCAGCAGCTTGGGAGGCTAAGACAGAAGAATTGTGAGTTCAAAGCCAGCCTCAGCAACTGCGAGGCACTAAGCAATTCACTGGGACCCTGTCTCATTTAAACTACAAAATAGGGCTGGGGATATATAGCTCAGTGATTGAGTGCCCCTGAGTACAACCCTTGGTGCCAAAAAAAAAAAATACTAAGCCATGTAACATACACGAAAAGCTTAGAATATACATTTCAAACAGCACATTTAAAAGACACTTTATTCAAAAGTAAGCACTTTTTCCAGGTGTGGTGGCACATGCCTGTAATCCCAGTGGCTTGGGAGGCTGAGACAAAAGGATCTCAAGTTCAAAGCTGGCCTCAGCAATGGCAAGGCACTAAGCAACTTGGCGAGACCCTGTCTTTAAATAAAGTACAAAAAAAGGCTGGGGATATGGCTCAGTGGTGGAGTGCCCCCCCGAGTTCAATCCCTGATACCTGCCCCTTAAAAAAAAGGAAGGACTTTTAATAAGCTTTAAATATCTGATTAGCTATTTATGTGGTCTATTTGTGAGACCACAAATAGCCTTGGATGTTTTTTTTTACAGCATTGGATATTTTTCCATGCAGGAATTTTAAAGCATTTTTTCTTCCTTGAAAATATCACTCTTTACTGCATAAGAGCAGTTCTCTGTATTAATTCACATCAAATTCACCATGCCTACTTATTAATGTCACTTCTAATTTTGATTCCCAACAAAAAGTCATGGAATTATAGTACTGACCAATAATGTTAGAGATCTTATGTGGTACACTATCCTAACTACACAGGTTAAAAAGAAATTAAAATTCTGACAAAAGTAATGGGCTAAATAGCAAACAGAAGTAGAATCCAACTCTGTATCCTCTGCTGCTGTTTTCACAATAGCACATTAACTCTCGTTTCCCCTTTTCTCATCTCTTAATTCTCCCTAGAGAGTTTTTAATTTCTGTGTAACACCCCCAGGCGCATTCCTAAATCCACCCTAGCACACTATTTATTGCATCTACTTTCCAACAGAAAAATAATGCCTAAGAATAAAAGATCCAACTTAAGGTTTTGTGTTTTTTTTCCCCTAAAAAAAAAAAAAAGCAAATTCTTGTTCAAAATCTGTCAAACCTAAATCTGAAAGAGTATTTTTTAAAAAGGCAGGCTTTAATTCATAAGAATTTTCTATTATTGATTGTTTACTCTGTGGAACATACACTAAAGAAAAGAGGCCAAAGTGAAATGTTCTTACTATTGAAGCCCAAATTGCTAGAGCTAACAATATAAAAATCAAATTGGAAAAAAAAAAGGTAAAATGTTAAGATTCCTAATACAGGTAGCATCTTATAAAACACTCTCCAAAAGGTATTTCCATATACCCTAATTATAAAAACAAAATACTCCTTCCATGACAGCAAAGGAATTTTATGCCTAGATTGCTTAAAATGTAAACATGGAGCCATTACTCAAAAGGAGTCTTCATGATCAAATGCTGAATTCCAGAGTCCTTTGTCTACTACTATGGTTTCTAAACAGTCTAAGTATGCACCATGATAGGAATCTATCCTTCCAGGCACCTGGCTCATGTTTCCCTCTTACTAAGTTTCCTAAGTTCTGCTGGCTGAGTGGATACTTCACTGACTTCCACACTCCCAACTCTACCCACATCCAGCTACAAGTTCTATTGTCATAAAACTAAACCCCAGAGAGGCACAGTGGTGCAAGCCTATAATCTCAGTGATGAAGAAGGCTGAGGCAGGAAGACTACAAGTTCAACGCCAGCTTCAGCAACTTAGTGAGACTCTGTCTCAAAATTTAAAAAGTAAAATAATAATAATTTTTAAAAAACCTACAGCTCATAATTTTGTTATCAATAATTCATAAAAATTTACTAATGAAACTAAATATAACAGCTAAGACTTAATAAGGTTGACCACTGCTTTATAGGCATGTGAGCTAACCTTAAACACTATTTTCACAAAACCATTCAAAATGATATTTTAAGTTTTACTCAAATTTTAAAAGATTTACTAAAATCTAAGAAGTGTTAAGAGTTAACCTATAATCGCTGCTATAATCATACAGAGTATTCTATATCCTAAGCAAAAAAAAAAAAAGCCCTCTTTTAAAAAAAAAAAAAAAAAAGACGATTAATATTATTTTTTTCAGCCTTTTTTTTTTTTTAAAAGCTGACAGTGGACCTTTATTTTTTTATATGCAATGCTGAGGATCAAACCCAGTGCCTCACACGTGGCAGGAGAGCTCTCTATCACTGAACCACAACCCCAGCCCCCAGACCTCTATCTTTATACTCTCCACACACAAATATCTTGGAGGAAAAAATATATATTTATATGGGGAGCCAGGCATGATGGCATAAGCCTATAATCCCAGTGACTTAGGAGACTGAGGCACGAATATTACAAGTTTGAGGCTAGCCTCAGCAACTTAGCAAAACCCCATCTCAAAATATAAAAGAGATGGGATGTACCTCAGTGGTACAGCTCCTCTGGGTTCAATCCCCAGCATATATATATATGTGATGTAATATATAAGGGGGAAGGTGTATAAAGATTTTGGGAAGATTGTGATGTCAATGAGTAAAATGCTATGAAAGTTAAATTATGAAAAACAAAAAAAACATTTAGAAAAGATAAGAAAAAACATATAATCAAGTTCTAAGTTGGGGCAGGGGTCAACAGTAGAAAATAACACTAAAATTTTACTCGTTCAATTCCCTTAAATAGAATCAACATCTGACATTTGGGCTCAGAAACACTGTTCATCTTCCAAAACATTCACCTTATTTTTTTTTGACCAGCTGGAATTTCTCTTCTCGCTCAGCCCAGATCCTATCCATTCTTCACTGAATGCTTATTGGGAACATAGTCTACAAACCTGTTTACCAGCAAGCTCAGCATAAAATGCCACAATGTCTTGAAAAAGAACTATAACATTTGATTGTCCAAGAATAGACTGATGAGAACTGCCTAGATCCTGTGATGTAAACAATGCCCACTAATGACAGAAAGCTTGCCCAAGAGGCAGCCATAAGGAGTTGGCACAAACGCATCATGACTCTATCCAAAGACTAACCTTCCTATGTTTCTACCTACCTACAAACCCCATAAAATATTCCAAGTGCCTGTTATGTTTACTCAGACCTAGGCTAGTGGTTTTACTAATGAACTGATTTTTTAAAATAAAAAAAAAAATTACATTTTTATAATTTCCTCTATTATAGGTAAGCATCTTTGGCATATGGTTGATAAATCATTATTATAAACATGAAATTCGTAGAGCATGTACACATTCTTTGTATGTTTGATTTCTGGATGACCCCATAATTCAAGCAACAGTTGCATTTGATTATCATGAGGCATGGAATCAGCACTTTGGTAGGGAATGAACTTTAACACAAAGCACCAGTGTCTTCAATTACCAGCATATCTAATGTCCAAGAAGAACAGTTTGAAGCATTCTTAAGAGTCCACAAGAAGAACTTAAAAAACTACTTATCACTACTATTCTCTCTCCTTTTTCTAAAGCTAGAAGGACAAAAGAATTAACTTGTGACTATGTCTCTGACCTGGGTTTTAGATTTGTTCTTCAAATAAGTACAAATCACATTTCCAAAGGAAATAAAAATTGAAAGAATAAATCCTTTCTTATTCAGCAAAAATACCCACTTATGGGGAGGACACACATTCCAAGTGTATAATTATGCATTTGGAATAAAAAGTTTTTATTTTCCATACACCCCACCCCACCCCCATTTTAAGTTTTAAAGAATGCTAAAGATAGATTAATAAGAGTTAGAGAAAATTGAATGAAACTCTCTCACTTTTGTAGTTGCAGGCAGGTGTTTCCCATTAAACTATACCTTTTGTCCCAGGAAAATAAAGTGATTTCAGTCAACGGAATAGATAAGGGAACTTTTATGCTGAAATTTTTTAAGCAGTAGTAAGACTAAGTATGATAGCATAAATGACCCCTCTTTTTTTTTTTTCCATTTTTAAAAACCAGTTTACTTTTCCCACTTAATCGCTAACATTTTCATCAAGCTCTTACATTTCAGTTTCTTTGCGGTTTTACATAATAAAATTCTTACCAGGACTGTGAGGACGCCACCTCTCTCCATCCCTTCTGGGTCCAGCTAGTCGCCAACCTCCATCTTCATCTTCTCCATTTTGTTCCTCTCTAAAGATACGCCAATTTTCACTTTCTGATCGTATAAATTCATGCTTTCTCCCTACTGATGCTGGTCCACTTTCCTCAAAATTTGGTCTCCCTATAAGCAAAGTAAAAAAACACAGTAACTAAATATGAGCCCCTATCAGTATAGATTTTGAAAAACGCCTTGAGTCAAAGTTTCCCCAAGATGTGTCCATTTCAATGTTTGGAAGTATCAATAAAATAACTGTGAATATATGCATATATTTTAGTCACTTTTCTTAAAGCCGAATAATCAAATACTGGGCAATTATTTTTTAAAAAGCATGCAATGAAATGAGAACCAATGTTCCCTCATTCTTACTCCCCAGAAGCAACTGAATAGTTTCTTATAAAGCCTTTCAGAAACAGTCCATGGGTATGCTCAACTCCCTCATCCACACACAGAAATGAATGGGGGATGGTGTACATGTCATTGGTACCCTTGCTATTTTCACTTAAGTGTACCTTGCCCATCTTCCTTACCAGCATATATTTTTAACACAATATTTTTTTAATTACATGAGTTACTTTAATTTATATAAAACCAACCTGTACTGGTGATTTTGGCCTAAACAGGAAATTTGTGTATTTCAACCTCTTTTATCCCAAAACAGACTGCAAATTCAAAAGCAGAGACTGTGGGTTCTAATTTCCCATTTATTTGAGCATCTAGTGCAACACAGGCATACAACAAATTGCTTTTGGATGGAATTCAAACTTGAGCCATGTTTAACTTAACTGCCCTGGAGTTACATTAATGGTAGGAGAGTGCCTGGTATACCAAATCAACTGAATTGGTACTTTTTAGGACAAGATAATTCTAAACAATGCAAACAAAATCTTCAATCACTCCACACCATGTACCAACATCTATATTTCATAGCATCATAAAATCTCACATTTAAGCAGCTGAAAAATCCAGAATGATACTCACTTATACATTCTCTGCCTATAACATTCTCTCAGTGACAAATTCTCTTTATTAAACCACACTAAAAGCAGGAAAAAAAAAAAAAGTTGAACAATGGCTTGTGATAATGAGGAAATTCTAACTTCTGGTCATCATCTTATATTCCATTTTACAAATAATAAGATTCAGCATCCTGTAATTACCCATACGGTTGTTAGGCTGTTACCAGGTATTGTTTTATGAAAGAATAAAAATACCATAAGGATTAGAGGAGTCATTATCTCCCAGGAAAAATACTACCTGCTTTCTTATTGTGATCAGCAGCCTCTAAAAGTATCCCAACAATTCCTGTCTGCTGGTCTTCCCTTAAATATGAGCTGACTTACTGTTTCACTCTTAACAGAATACTGCTAAAGGGATGAAATGCCCACCGTTTATACTAAGTTTTTAAAGACTGTGGCTTCTATCTTGGAGGCCCTTCTCTGAAGGATGACAGATGTTATATGGTGTGGCAGCCCTGTGGGTAATTTCAAAGGGCAGAACTGAGGCTTTCCACCAGAAATATATGTGAGTTTGTAAGGGGGTCTAATTCCAGAAGAGCACTGAGATGACTACAACCTTCTTAGAGATCTGAGCCAGAACGACCTAGCTAATAAGCCATACTATTCCTTGATAATAAACATTTGTTGTTCAGCCATTAAGTGTGGGGTATCTGTTATAGTCATAGATAATAAAAACTCTTGATCTGACTTAATCTTCCTAACAATCCTCACTAATAGAAGCTAATTTTTTTCCCATTTTATAGCTTAGAATATTGCAGATCAAAAACACAACCTAGGAGAATTATTTAAAATCACACACCCCTCTTAAATAGCAATTCCATTATTTGGAAAATGGAACATAAAGAAGAATATCAAATGTTAATCTTCAAATCATTCAATAAATATTTACAACACACCAAATACCAAATTTTGTGGATTTGGGTACAGACACAGCCCACATTTACCCCTAGGTCAGAAGATGTCCCAGGGTCTCGTACTTAGATTAAGAAGACAATCCATTTTGCAAAGCATCACTTTTAGCATATGACTTGATGAAAAGTGTAGCTATACTTCCAAAAAAGAAATTTAAAACAAAAATATCCCTAATGTATATATACTGGAAAATAATGGGGAATAGCTTTTCAATAAAACCAGTAAGCCACAAATATTACATACCAGGCACTAAGCTGTGACTTGGACATAAATGCTTAGTCACACAATGGATGAGCTAGGTGAATGACTCATCTTTATTATCTACTTTTATACCAAACCTCTGAAAAAAATAACAACTGTACCAAAGTAAATAATATATCAGTAACAGCAAAAAGCATTAACTCATCAAAAAATGGTTATCACCTTCATAATAAATATTGTTTTATTAAAATAAAAATCAAGTTATTCAAATACTAGTAATCCCTTAATCTTAAAAAATAGAAATCTATCTGTAATTAGTTTTTATATAACTTTTTTGTCTGAAAGACAGTCTCACCATTTTGTCCAGGCAGACCTCAAATTCCTGGGCTCAAGTGATCCTTTAGCGGCAACTATATGCGCATGACATTGCACCCAATATAACTTTTTTATTTTATGAAGTTGCAGTCTGTACACCTACTATTATGTAATCTATTTTCACCTGTAATAGCAACTAATTCCCTATGATTATAATTCTTCCTAATAATGCAAATAGGCACATATTACTTATAGCTTGCTGTTGTAGCATAATGTACTATTCTATGTTTTAACCAATTTTTTTTGGCCAAGTATTGACAATGAGAGGAAAAAAAAAAAATCTGTGGGCCTATGTGTTTTGCTTTCTTAAACTATTATTTATTTAAAAAAAAAAAAAAAAGCTTTAAAAAGTGAAACTACTAGTTCCAATGACAGACAATGTATCAACACACCACACTCCATGAAGGGGGAAAAATAAAAGTCATTTTGCATTATCAACTCTAAGTGCTGCTATCCTTTCAAAAATTCTGTTACCATAATAATTGTAAAATAATGGTACACTAATGTGGCTCAAATCTGAATTGTCAATAAGATTTTTCATGTTGTTTTCTATCTTTATTTCCCTTTATCTTAAATGTTACTTGAATATTTTTTCCTAACCTAAGAGTTTATCTTTGTAACTGTCAAGTTCTACAAGTACTTTTGATATTAATACCAAGAAAAAAGAAAAGTATAAAGGAAAGGATAGGGTAAGTTAGAGAAACTCTAGGAAGAAAAATATCTGGCTTTTCTATTTGCCAAAAACTAGCTTGTGATACTCAAATTGTTGAAAACTTATACCTCATAAAGTATGAATGACCATTTATGCCATTTCTTATTCCAAAAAGGATTTGATACAAAAATTTTGCACTTTATAAAGAGGAGCATAGCACCAAAAAAATGATGATGATCTTGGAATCATTAGAACCTGTTTTAAATTCTAGCTCCAAATATGATCAATATCCTTTGACTACTGAAGTCCCAGTTTTTCACTGGGGAAGACGGGATAATTTGAGGTAAAAGCAACCTGAATTAACATGAACCCTGGTCCTGTGTTCAAAAATCTGTATCAAAGAAGTTCAAATTTTGTTACTACATAATTGTTTCCACAAAATAATTTCTAAAAAAACACAACATACTTCTTCATATATCAAATATTCATAATATAGTAAAATTGATACATTTAAGTGATGAAATCTGGTAAACCAAGGAAAACCAAAATAATACAGTTCTTATATTCCACGTGTAACAGCAGATAAGCAGAGTTCTGCCTTTAGGGGTCACAGTCATTTTCATAAAAAAGGCTGGAAAGGATTCAAAGAGCTTGGAAATGGACTTCACTCATCTCCTCCTGCTCCCCTTTAAGAAACCTTTTAATTTGAACACAACATTCTTACAAAAAAAGCACACAAATAACTAATATACAATTCAAATAAGTTTTCTGAAGGCAAATATATGCATATAACCACCACCTGAGATTTAAAAATAAATGTGTGTGTGTGTGTGTGTGTGTGTGTGTGTGACCATCCTCAGGAGCTCGTAACTTTCCAATCAGCCCTTCCCAAAACAGGCACTGTTCTGACTTCTATCCCCTTCTTTTTGCCCCTTTTGTACTTTTCATGTAAATGGACCATTTGTTTATATCTGGCTTCTTTAGCTGAACATCATGCAAGTCATTCAGATCATTACAAAAGAGTTTATTCTCTTGCTCATTTAAGTTGTTTTTAGCTTTTTGTTATTTCGAATTGTGCTTCTATGAACTTTCTTAGCTTCCAGTTTTGGTGAAATATGCTTGCATTTCTGTTGGATATATAATACATCTAGATATGAAACTACTGGATCATAGAATGTTCAACTTCTGTAAATACTACAGAATATTTTCCCAAGGAAATGGTACTACTTTGCCATTTGGTTGACGGTTTTACTCAAACCTCTAGCAAACATGAACAAGACTGCCTCCTCTGTGAACAAATACAATTAGACACATAGGATTAAAAACAAAGAAAGACTTAAGACACAACACCTGCCCTCGAGACCCATTGTCTAGAGACATACAAGTAAACAAATGACCTGATACATTACAGTTGACACAATACACTGCCAGATCTTGTTGATCTTCATAATAAACCCAAGACATTAAGTCAACCACCACCACCTCTATTGTTGCTGTGAGGAAAGGAAAACCTGCTGAACGGTGATTCCCAAGATCATACAGCTGAGCCAAAATGCAATCAGAAACAGAATCTAGGTGTTCAACCTCATAATTTAGGGTTCATTTCTACTACACTATTCTTAGTCACAAATTAGGCCCACTGGCAATAGCCAGAAGCTCTTAAAAAATCTGAAACAAGAGGAAGAAGATCTAAGTCTTAAGCTCTGAAAGTGCAGTAGACATGCTATGTGTTCTATAACTTGTTGACATCTCTAAAAGGGAGAAAGTGGAACTAAGTTTGTTTCAATCTTCATCTTCATGCAGAAATGATTTCAAAATGTCTATCTCAGGAAAAAAAAAAGGTAAGACCAACAAATTTTCAACATAGAAATTTTATGGTGGCTTCATACACCACCATAAAATACATATTTCCAATTACTATTGGTACTGACTAAAAATCATCATAGTATGACGCATTGCTCTAT